CGGGGGCCCCGTTATGAAAACCTTTGCAATTCAAAGACACACAAAATTGTTAAATAATTGCTTTCAATATTTCAATTGATTGGCATCAATTATAAACAATTGCCTGCCTGGCCCAGTTGTTGGGTCAAGAAGTATAAACAGGATCATATATAACAGATCAGCGCAACTGGAGATTACATGCATGCGAGTATTGTATATTTTCCTGGGGTAAACTGCCAATCCTAGGGGCCCTAAATGCGCGATGTCCCTAATTCACGAGGCACCTAAAATGGGCGTATCCCAATAGAAAATAGGCGTGTTCCCATAAAAATGGGCGTGGCACAGTAAAGCGTGAGGCCCCCATAAGCACGAGGCCCGCGGCATATGCCACATCTGCCACATGGTTAATACGGGCCTGCCTACAGTAACCCACCCTGTCAACTTTCCTTGTGGAAGGAAACTACTCAGAGAAAATCCAAAACACTCAGCAGAATGTTGACGGACTCTTTTCATACAGGTTAAAGTCCAAAGCAAGCATTGAAGCCACAAACTCAGAGGTGTAAGCTAAGGTACTTACTCTGATGACTAGTACTCCACTGAAGCCCCAATAGGCCACCAAAACCCCAATAAAATCAACTAAGTACTGTTAACTAGACATAGTAACATAGCCATAGAGTGTATTTGAGGTACAAATACTATAAGGAAATATCAGACCCATACCTGTACAAATCCCAAGGTTTATTTGGATCAACTATATGAATATAATGTTCATCGTTTGACCTACATAATGAAACACATTAGTACTCCATCACCATACTGACGTCATATATGTGTGTTAATTAAGTAACGGTATGTGCAGCAAGTTTTGTACCATATAATTACTTATTTTGAGAGTACCTGTTGCCGGTGGAGCCATTGTCTTCTCCCAAGCAATAACTCGTAAATGCAACTTGATTGATTGACGACCAAGTTGATATTACTGACCTAAAACTATGACTGGGAAAAGAAAATATACACTTTACTAATGAACCCATTAATGCCAACATTCTATCCCTTTAACAAGTAATATAATGTGGCATTAGACAGAATGCAAAATATGCATGGTCCACATACATATACCAGATTTGTTGCATTCTCAACTGTCCACACATATCCGTGAAGACAATATGATATGAATATGCTAATTATTTAATTGCCAAGGCAATTGACACACAAGTGTGCTCAGCATGGACTGGATTTTATACTGTTATGTGCTCTTAATTTCATCATTTACATAAAAAAAATTCTGGTTACAATGAATCCACGTATATCAGCTCTGCTGATGTTTTGCTGATCACTGGCTTATCTCTATGATCCACAACTCATTGGTATGGATGCAAACAAATCCGAATACATGTGGACATGCAAGGCCTACAAGTTATGGCATTAATTAGAGAACTATTCAGAAAGTATCAGATATTAATTTTAATAAAATTATGCATGTATGTAAGATAATTAAAATATATTTCAAACACTCATTAACAATTCATAAGCTTATTGACAAATCATGTCAACCATAATATGTCACGTGCAGTGGCTTTAAACCTGATAAAACACTTCTAATTAGTATTCTTTATATAAAGAATACTAATAAGGCTGTATCTATTGCAGTCGTGTCCTCATTAGTATTTTTTATATAAAGAATACTAATAAGGCAGTATATCTATTGAATTTGTAGTCATGTTTGAAGCTGTTTAATAAACTCGCAGGTCGTGTTTTATTAGGTCTAAAGCCACTCGCGCTGCGCGCTCGTGTCTTTAAACCTAATAAAACGCTCCTGCTTGTTTATTAAACAGTACATAGTATACTAATCATCATCATATATATAGTATACTAATAATTATATTCATCCAACAACGGAACTTTATGTTCTATGGCTATTGATCCGACATAGTATTAAACTATTAATACGCACATGTATACATACGATATTCACATTTTTATGAACAATAATTTTTTTATGAATCTGTCCCGCAATCTAATAGGGATGACCCGATAAGGAAAATTGCCAATCACTGAAGCCAATTATTTATAAGCCGATTATCGTAACTAATTGGCCGATTAATCAGTACCTGCCGATTATTTTAAAAAGCAAGCGAAAAATCACCAAGTGACCAACAATGAAGTTGTAAATGCGGTTTTATTGTTTACAATACAGTCACTATGTACAATTAAAAACAGCTTCAATCTTGCATGTCAATAATCAAAGATTAGTTTTGGCAGATTATGGTGTAAAAACAGGATATTGTCAGCTATGCGGAGCTAGTCTGCTTCCCAGCTTCACTTTGCTTGAGACAAAAGACACGGGTTTTGCAACAAAATGTAAAAATCTATTCGCTTGTATTCAGTATTTTAGCATGTGCTTGGCAGCTGCAGAAAAAGTCTTATGGCCGATTATTTGCCAATTATCAGGCAATAATTGGCCGATTATTTAAAAAACGGCTGATTAATCGGCTTTGCCGATTATTTACTGATTAATCGGCTCATCCCTATACAATCTAACCCCTACTCTAACCCTAACCGGTCTCTTATCCTAACCCGTTCTGGCCACTTGTTTGCAGGTAGTAGAACTCTTACACATACACTTGAAATTCCACTCCAGGAATTGAAATTCCACTCTGGGCAATAGAGAGTTTGAGCAAGAGAACAAAGTCGGACGACAACGACATGGTTGACAATTTTTGCCTGTCTTGCACATTATCTTGCGCATTCTGAGTTTAGGGTAAGGAGTGAAGACAGGTTAGAAATTCATGTCTAGCTGTTTGTGAATGCTGACTCAAATTATCCTTACTCTGATAATAATAATAATGATTTATTAGCGATTCCAAATTGAATTGGCTCTTCTATCACTAAATTAACTAATCTATATTAACAAGTACTATATTTACAATGAGTAGCTATGAAGAGTTAATACATCTAACACAGGAGGATAACACAGCAAGACATGAATCCAATTATCCCGTCTTCGTTCTTCTGCCTTCGTTCACAACGAATATTTTGGCAAAATTTGTTGTGAACTTCGTTCTGCACAAAGGCAGAAGGACAAAGGCGGGATATAGTTTCATGGAATACAAGTCGTTTCGCCCCCAAGTCGTTTCGCCCCAAGTCGTTTCGCCCCCAAGTCGTTTCGCCCCAAGTTGTTTCGCCCCCTAAACAACAGAAGGTAAATTAAGTAAAATGATTTATTTTCCTTATCGTTTTACAGCATGGACATTCTAACTTTGCAACAGTTGTGAATGCAAATCGCAATGATCTTTTAAAGCCTCAGAAGTCAGCTGAAGTGAAATGCTTCCCTATTAAACGCTTCGCGCATACATATTCCATGCATATTTGAAGATGAGTAATACCGGGATTGAGTCATTTTTTTTATTTATAATTTAATATTCTTTCATTTTGAAACCGTGAAAGCTGTGAATTGTTTTGTTTGGCTATTGTCAAAAATTAATCACCGTTTCGGGAATTGTTCCGTTCATCCGTTGTAAAAACTAATCAATACGTATACGTTGATCACCGACTTTGTGAAACCTTTTCACGCTTTTGCTGTCATTTGAAATGTCACATTTTGTCAAATATGGGCTAGTTCGTTAGTTTGTAATTCATATATTTTGCTAAAAAAGCTTTATCGAATATATTCAATAAGTTTTGGGGTGTTCTTACAAATACAAATTGACATGTTATGACTTGGGGGCGAAACAACTGGGGGCGAATCGACTTGGAGGCGAAACGACCGGATACCATTTCATGTCTCGCTGTTTTTTTTTCTGGATCAGGGCAAGAAATAGGGTCAGTATTCATACAACAGCGACACATGGGAAGACAAGTTGAGCAACCACCAGTGACATCCAACTCAGTATGCACAAGAAGATGTGCAGACGGCAAAAATTGTCAAGTATGCCTTCGTCTTCGTACTTCGTTGTCTTGCTCAAACTCTCTAATAGCACATGCAAGAGAGATTGCTTGACTATCGACTATCGAGAGATTGCTTATCGACTATCGACTATCGAGAGTTGCTCGACTATCGAGAGATTGCTTGAAATCAACCGAAATCTACTTGGTATCATTTTAGGACGTCTAAGTAAACAACGAGGAAAACACTTTTGTCGGATCTACAGTCATATAACTTAAAGATCCGGTGTCGGGACAATAAACCACGGCGTAATTTGTATTAGTGATTTGTCAACTCTCACTCCTAGACACAAATCATACCGATTTCTTTCATCTTCAAGCGACCGATCCGTCCTATACACGGGTACAAATTCCATAACTGACATCGTTCTGCATTCTCAAGTAAAAGAATGGACAATAAAGTTGAATGTCGCATAAAAAACAAGCGAAAATAGCAAGTAATTGTCCGCCATGTTATCTTTTTCTTACAGCCAAATCACAAATTCCTTGGCAAGAGCTTCGAAATTCCTTAGTTTTCCCAAAAATTCCTTTGAAATAAATTACTACAATCATTCAATTCCTGTTTTAAAGGAAATATTTATGAATTCGCCCGCAACACCCGTCACCAACACACCCGACGATTAAAAGGACAACGACCTGTGTTCGTCTTCGAATATATTTATAGAAATTTGCAATTTCACATACAGAGCAATTTGCATAACAATTTTAAGTTAAAATCACGCGCTTTTAATGTGAGATTTCATGGAAGAAACATAGGCAAATTCTTTCACATACAACTTAAATTTCTTCGTATTTCCCTCAACAATGGAAAGCCAGCTTACAACTGCAGATGTTTATCAAACAGCCTCGCTCATAGGCAAAGATATGGAACAGATCATTGAAACATTCGGACATTCCGCAGTGATGGATTTGATGCCGAAAGTCATCCAAGTTTTAGAGCACTTGGAGATTGCTGTTGGAGAACAGGAAAAAGGCTTGTTAGAGCTGGAAGAAATGCGATTACAAAATGAACGTTTGCTAACAGAAGTTAAGAAGGAAGCAAGTCAACGCAGACGGCTTGATGAGGTTTTTATAAAGTCATAAGATTTGTTTTAATTTTTGTTTGTCTATACTGTATGCAAATTTTGAGTCAAATTATGATCTTGGCATGATGGTGTGATAGCGTTTACGGTTTAATTGGTCATTATTAAACTGTCATTTATATGCTTATGTTAATATTATTGAAAGTGATTTGCTTGTGTTGGTGAAAGTGATATACTGAAATTATGATTTATTAATAATACCTTGAAACGTTTTTCCCAGCTGTTTATAATAATGCCAGACAACTTTTATAAGACATCTAAGATGTCTGAGAGAACTTTGTTGACTCATGTAAATGCGGAAAAATATATGGACAAGCTCACTCACATATTGTGGTGTGGCTAAAATTGGGCCATTCCATTGGGCTATTCCATTTAATATCCGTACCCCCCCTGTCGAGGATCCCTGGAATTCTTCAGGGGTAAAGGGTTTTGAGCTTGGAATTCTTCAGGGGTAAAGTGTTTTGAGCTTGGAATTCTTCAGGGGTAAAGTGTTTTGAGTTTGGAATTCTTCAGGGGTAAATGGTTTTGAGCTTGGAATTCTTCAGGGGTAAAGGGTTTTGAGCTTGGAATTCTTCAGGGTAAAGAGGTTTGAGATTGAAATTTTTCAGAGCTTGGAATTCTTCAGGGGTGAAGGGTTTTGAGCTTGGAATTCTTCAGGGGTAAAGGGTTTTGAGCTTGGAATTCTTCAGGGGTAAAGGGTTTTGAGCTTGGAATTCTTTAGGGGTGAAGGGTTTTGAGCTTGGAATTCTTCAGGGGTAAAAGGTTTTGAGCTTGGAATTCTTCAGGGGTAAAGGGTTTTGAGCTTGGAATTTTGGAATTCTTCAGGGGTAAAAGGTTTTGAGCTTGGAATTCTTCAGGGGTATGACAATGAAAAACATGTATCCTCGACAGGGGGGGTACGGATATTAAATGGAATAGCCCATTTAATATGTGCACCACCCCCCCTATTGAAGGGTCTGGATATCCAATGGAGGGGGGGGGGAGGGAGTCTTCATCTTAAATTTTCCTTGAGGGTAGCTTCAGAGATTTAAAAAAAATGGCAAAAATTAGGTGTTTTAGTGATATCCAAGAGGGTGCACCATTGAGGGTGCACCTTTGCCCCCCCCCCTTGCCCTCCTGGTAAAGGGCAACAGGGGCGGCTGCCCCTCCTGCCCCCCAGTTCCGGCGTCCCTGGGAAAAAGCGATATCCTAAAGGGGTTGGTAAGATATCCTAGCTAGGGTATCTTCGACAAATTGCATCCAAGCGAGTTCCAATTTTTTTATATATATCCTAAGGGGGTTATGAAGGGACCCTTTACTAAGGGGGGGGGGTACCTATATATATATATATATTTTTTTTTTTTTTTATTTTTTTTTTAATCACTTTTTTGCAAAAATAAAATATTTACATTGGCAAAAGGTGGCCGCACAGGACATAGTCCCAATTGATTACAGCTACCATTTAACTATACATACATACATAACATGCCATTAATTAAATACAACACTACATTGTCAATACTATATAATTTCAGCTAAGTTAAAAGTCACTACTATCTACCAATCTCAAAGAGTAGAGTTCCTTTAATGCAGTTTTAAAAGTACTTATTCTTGCAATAGTTTTTAAAGTAGGAGGTAGACTGTTCCATGAGCGTATAGCTCTAGGAAAATATGAATAACCAAAATAGTTTGTTCTATACCTAAATTCAGAAAAATTATCTTGATGAGAATTTCTTAAATTATAACCAGATTGAGGCTTCATCTGAACATTCTCGGCATATTCCTCAAAGTCAAGACTATATAACCCATTCTTGAGTTTAAAGAGAAATATTAAGTCCTTCATTTGCCGACGAGACTCAAGTGGAAGGAGATCGAGCATAATCATTCTACTTTTGTAATTAAATGGAATGGCCCATTACTGGTTTTAGGTATTAGGATCCACTGTAACCCAGTTAGTGATTTGAGCTAACTGCAAACCTGAGTGAGTTAGGGGGTTTTATATAATATATCTTTTTCCAAATATAGTTGCTGTTAGTTGATAGGTACCTTTTTCTATTTAAAACTTGAAGCCCGAGTGATTTTCCTTTAATTTTCCTTTAGTGAAAATTGACCTTCTGAAGCCTAATATGCCAGATGATTTCACTTTTTAGCCCTTAAAACACCATGAGATTTTATAAAAAATGGGGAGAGCAAAATTAAAGTCAATCATATGCATTGTTCAAAACAGCAAAAATTCGAATCATTTTCCCTTAAAAATCATTGTTGCATTTGCTTCAACAACTTGTTTAATTTTAATTTAATACTAACATGGTGTGATGCATCTAGTTTTCCCATGTTACATCTTGTATTCTAATGATAATCTACTTATACTGCAAAAGTGGATACAAAAGCCAAACACTTCTAGTTCATGGAGTAAGTTTCAGCCTGGTAACGAGTGATTTTCATGTGATTACTGTTTCTTGCCAGATATTCTAATCTGGAAAATATTCCAATTACCTCCTAACAATTGAAACAAGCGACCGGGAGAAAATGCCTTGAGACCGGGAGAAAAAGGTCAAAACAGGGAGTCTCCCGGCAACACCGGGAGAGTTGACAGGTCTGCATATGCATACGTTGAAAATTTAGTGCCCCCGCCCCAATATTTTGCAAAGCCCTCAATGCGCCCTCCTTTATCATTTTACTCTGTCCATTGCCAGATGATTTTACTCATCACTTGGGAAGAGTGCTGTTGCTCAATGGGTTAATCAAACTATATGTCTAGTTAACCGTGCTAGCTTTCAATGGGTCAACCCTCGAAATTCAACTATTTTTGCATCGGCAAATAATTGCCGAAGTCTTTCGATAATTTTCGAGTTTGCCTTGGCAATGCCTCTGCAATTTTTTTGCTGAGGCACGCAATGAAATCACATTAAATTCCTTTGGCAATTTCTTTGGCACCCTTCGGCATTCACGTCGGCAGTTGTAATTAAAGTTCGGAAATTATTGTAAACAAATATTATAATGAGCATAGATTCTGACGTTTGACAATTTGTTGTTATTTTACAAATTCCTGATTCAAAATGTTTTTAAAAAGTTAGTGGTAATTAACAACAGATAGTATGAAAGAATAAACTTGACAATAATCACACGACAGTCTAAAAGATAAAACAAAGTTTCTGGACATGCAGTCTTTAAACCATCAAGATTGTTCTTTATTTCAGACGAAGCCGATGCTGAAAAGCTTAAATTTAAATATTTTGTAAAGTAGCTATGAATGAAATCTTCTGTTGTTCACCCAATGTCGATGACAACAATTCCAACAAAGAAGTGATACAAAAAACGAACACTGCAGTTTGTAAATTTAAGCAAAAAAAACCCAAACAGACGCTGTAGTTTGTAATTTAATTTAAGGTACAGCGGGTGGAATTGCCTCTAGAGGCAAACTATGAAAAATCGTAACTTGCCTCGGCATTTGCGTCCGCAATTGCTGAGTGCCGAGGCAAATTTTGAGGGTTGTAGGTTAAGCACTTACTTATTTTTGTCCTGTAGGAACTGTATCAATACAAGCAACAGTCTACAAGAGAAATCTCTGAACTGAATAATATTTTGGAAAAACTAAGGGATGAAAACCAAAGTTTACAAGCAGAGGGACAAGCTCATAGAATGGAGAAGAAGGGTTTGTTGATAAATATAAATTGTTGTGTCTTAATGCAAAAATAATTTAAACGTTCAGGAGACATGATGTTATTCATAATTACAGTGTAGTTACAGTAGGATCCATTGAGGTTCACCCAAAGGTTATGCTGTACAGTATACATGTCCAGGAGAAGGGGGTATGACTAAAAGGAAGTGGCATAACGCTCATTGGGTAGGGTTAGTTAAAAAACTATTAGTTTTTAAAGGGCCCCCAACAGTTAGGGGCCCCATCAGCCATGGCCTATCACCCAGAAAATTAGAAAACATAAAGAATGCATGTTAAGAATCAGTGGGAAAATGCAAAACTAATAATGCTAAATAATAAAGCCTCCATTGACAACGGCAGCTGATTTTTTTATTCCATCTCAAAAATAAAATAAACATTATTCTTATTAGTTGTTACATGTGTTGGAGACTGTTATTGTTACAGAATTTTCCGGAACATTCTATTAATAAATATTCAATATAAATATAAATATAAATATAATATCTCACTCAGTCAAACAATGACGACAATCAACAGGCCCCCCCCCCACACACCAAATATGCCTAAGGGCCCCCTCTTCCTCTGTTACACCACTGCTAAAAGGAGAATTATAAGAGTTAAGATTTCAGAGAGTTAAATCGAACCACGCCCACTTTTTCCAATGACCACAACCAATTTCTTAACTCTTCCGATGTTACCTTTCAACGAACATGGGAGAGTTAAATTTGCTGTTATTAAAAATGGTTATTAAATTTGCTGTTATTAAATTGGTTATTAAAATCACATGCTTACACCATGAACTATTTTGAGGTGCTTGTGAGACCAGTTGATTATGAAACCAGGTGCTTTCTTGCTTATCGAAAAATATATAAAGGCCTTGTTCAATAATTGCTTTACAGAGACGGTGCAGCATCTATCATCAGCAGACCTTGCTGTTCTTGAGCAAATGAAATCGACCATCGACAATCAACGTGATGCAATCAGAAGTAAAAACAGCGAGATTGAAAGTGTCAAAAATGATTTAGAAGCAGTATGTGAATGTTTTGTTTAACCCACCCTAATGCACCCTGTTACTCATCAAGGAGAGAGCTCAATAGGGCCATTTATACGGGACAAAATAAGTCGCGACTTACATAAGACGCGTCTTATATAAGCTGAGTTATCGCATAAATGGTTCTCTACGGCTTTATTCTTATTTACTTGCTATAGCTATAATGTTGTTTCGGTTGTTTTTGTTTTAATATGCAAGGCTAATAATTTTACGTTGTTTCAAGTTTCGGACATGTGTAGTTAGAATTTTTGTCCAAAATTTCTTATTTAAGACGCGACTTAAATAAGAACAGCTAACTAAAAGTCCTGTTCTTATGTAAGACGCGTCTTATCCAAGACGCGTCTTACATAAGAATTTTGTACCTTTTATACGATAAACTCGCGTCTTATTTAAGTCGCGTCTTATGTAAGTCGCGTCTTATTTTGTCCCGTATAAATGGCCCTAATGTGTTAATCAGACTATCGGTACCTGCCTATTTGTCAAGTTGCATTGTACCCTAATGCCCCCTCCTCAGGGTTCATACAAAAGTTGAAAGTCCTGAATGTCCTTGAATTTGAAAACAAAAATTCAAGGACTTGGATGTCCTGGAATTTGTAACTCGGAACCTCAATCCTTTTTGTTTTAGTTTATGGATATTTTCTGAAATTATTTGACATTCAATAATGGACATTTTGTTGAATTGATTTTGCATGATCATACATGAAGTATCTGACAAAGCTGTTCGAAATTCACAAAAGTTGCGTTTTGAACAATTCAGCGTGACATTGTACTGATTTCTAACGCCTTTTCTTCAGTGTTTTGTGCTTGAATTTGCTGATACATGATCTTGAATGATATTTTGGAAAAATCCTTGAATTCGACTCTTTCTGATATGTACGAACCCTGCCTGCTTTATTATTTTACTCTGTCTAATGTCAGACGATTTTACTTGTGAAGGAGAGAGTGCTGATACTCAATGGGTTATCACATTGAGTGAACCAGAAAACATTGTTTTCGTTTTCCTGAAGGTTAATTTGTTGGGAACCATGTTTAGATAACAACGTTTGGTAATTTGCCATTGATTTTTTTGTGGTGGCCATAAAGTATACCAGATTGTAAAGCAGAGAGAATGTAGTTTAATTTGCTTGACCCAACTGTATAAGTTTCAACATTTCTGCGACCTCACGACCATCTAAGTCCCGTACATGCATATACGGGGCAATTGTTCCTTGACAAGTTTTATTTGCTCGTGTGTACAGTACGGGCTCCAAGGAAATATATACTTCGAATCTATAGTTTTGGCAAACAATAGGCGGTTTTGACGTGAGATAAATGTTTAACAACGGTTGTGCCAGTGTTGGCAGGGTAGGAAAAATAATTTTCTTCCTGGGATCTCAACCTGGATACAAAAATTTCCGGGAGACAAAAATTTCCGGCAGACCAACGGAGTATTTTCGTGCTAAATCTGCTTGTGCATATAAACATATAGTGTTCTAGCTGACCGTGGTTATAAATTCAAGGAATGATGTCTGTCAACCATATGTTGTTGTGCCTATAGTGGGACATGGGTGTTCATAGCAAATCATTTCAACAGCAAATCTTCATTCAAACGAATTTCCTGCAGCTGTTTAACATTTCCTGCGAGCAGTGCTCGCGTGCTCGCCTATTTTTTCCACCCCGAGTGTTGGTAGTGGCAATAATAAGGAAACATCTGATGGATAGGGGGGGTGTAACTACTGTGCCTGAAAAATACAAGGAGAACTTCAACGTTTCGAGCGAAGGCCCTTCGCCAGGTGGTTGGTAGGCAGGGTTCGTACGGGTCCTGGAAAACCTGGAAAGTCATGGAATTTCAATATTCCAAAATCCAGGCCTGGAAATCCTGGAAAATAAATTTTAGTCATGGAAAGTCATGGAAAATTGAAATTTTACAAAACATTAACAAAGTATTTTACTTACTTCAATTTACCAGTCATAACAATAATATAGATTGTTGTTATATAGCGGATTTTTGCAAGAGCGAAGTGAATTTTGTTCTTTTATTATATCTGTTATCGATAAAATATTAACGAATTTCAGAAATTCCAGACTTCAAGGTCATGGATTTTGAAAAAAATGGTCATGGGAAGTCATGGAATTTTAAATGGGAGAAGGTGTACGAACCCTGGGTAGGGCCCCCAACAAAACGTGTTGAGGAAATCTTGTTGATCGCGTATACAGCCAATTCAAAAAAGGCGAACTTTAAACTCTAACCGCGCAAAGCTTAATGGGGTTATGGGGAGCACAAGTTTCAAGCTTAGTAGTTGAATATTGCAGCTATTTGTGAATGAATTGTTCTCGTAAGGAGATATTTACCATGTCTCTAAGAAATGGGCCTAATATATGATTTCTAAACTGATTAAAGGATGCTCGCATTATGCCTTGTACGCTTAGAGTTTAAAGTTTAGAGCTTAAGGTTTGCAAAGGACCACCTTTTTTTAATTCGCTGTATATATGAGAAAGTAAACTTCTCAATGAAAACTTGCCTTTTCAAATTCTTTTTCAGATGGAAGAACAGGTTGAACGGCTTGCTAACATCAACGAAACAATTCGTCGTAATCTGACTTTACAAAAATCCCGAAACTCAACTCTCGCGCAAGAAAAAGCTGATCTCGAAGCCGACATAAACGTGTTGAAACAACAGGTTTCGAAAGCAACCAGCGGTTCGGCCATTATTAGGCTGAACAACGAGTTTGATAAAACGGCAAAAACTGAAGACAAACTCAAGAAGAAAGAGAACGTGGAGTCTCCTGTTTCGAAAGATCCTAACCGGCCTCGGTTTACTTTAAAAGAACTGCAGAGAGTCTTGAAAGAAAGAAACGAACTGAAAGAGAAGGTGATCATGCTCGAGGAAGATTTGGCGTTTTATAAAAAGACCAGGTATGGAAAACTCGATATAGTGCCCTAATTGATATGTGCAGAGTGTATAAAAAATCGATAAAATTTTTAAAAGCCCTAATATCTCATGGTCACTTCTAGTTTAAGCTTATTGCCTGGCATTTATACGCATTAGAGATATTAATTGGTTTTTCTAATGCTCATAGGTGAAAATTTATAGAAAAGCGATTTCAACTGGCAAGTAAAAAAATCTTTAATTTACTGTGCAGTCAATATTGAGCGCACAAGAGCATTCTAAAGTTGGATTACCTTAGCTTGGAATATAGACTTTCCAAAGTCCGCGGTTCCGTCTTTCTCAAGCGCTCCCTTCTTGCTACGCGCGGTCCCTAGCGAGCGACTTGGGCAAGCCTACTTGGAATACTCTGATTTACCTCAACTCAGAGGAGGGGACAGGGGCCAAGCACCCCGCCTCCCAATTATTTCCAAAAACCTTTGATTGATAGCTGAGTATAACTGTATAACAAAGCTATAATGACAATTATAAGCATGGTAGGCTATAGATTAAGCCATGAGAGGGGGGAATGATTTCTTCTTTCTGGCAACCTGGGTTTAGGGCTCAAAGATTACAAATACAGGTAATATAGTATTATAGATACAATAGGGGGAAATAACAGAACTGTTTTTTTGTGAAATAGTGTGTCTTTAAGAATGATAAGGCATACAAGATATATAAATGCTAAAGTAGTCATTATGGTAGTTAAAGTCCTACAGGATTAAAAACAAATTCCTACTATTGGCTGCAATGAATATTTTTAATGAAGCTGTTACGCCGTGATTTAGTTATATGGAGTTAGCAGATTAATTAGGCATATAGATATTCAATCAGTGCAACTTTCAGAATTAGCCATCAAACATAAGATCCCCAAAAAAGTTCCGATACTTTTTTCACCTTTGCATTAAGCTATATATTGCATGAAATTTAAAACAAAAAAAGTTGAAAGAACTGTAAGATTTCCAGCGACAAAAGGTGTTCATATGCTGCTCAGTTTGTCATTGCAGGGCTCAGCTGGAAAAGTTTTACCCTACCATTCTAAAGGAAAGCTTTACAGGTTCAAGTGGGACACCGGGACTCGGGGGTTCTTGCATTTCTTGAATAGCTTGCACAACAAACGAATTTTGTGTATCTATTTCAGCGAAGATGAAGTGGACTCGGCTTCGTTGGAGTTAAACACGTCATCAGATAAAGCGAAAGAAAAACATGTCCATAAATCTGGAATCTCGAAATTGTAAGTGTAACATAGTGATAATAACAGGGTCCCCACGGTCCTTGAAAATCCTGGAAAGTCCTTGAATTTGTTAAAAAAAATCCAGGCCTGGAAAGTCCTTTGAAACTGATATGGTCCTTGAAAGTCCTGGAATTTTTTTTCACTAGGCTGGAAATAATTGAAGAATTATTACCAGCCCAAGGATTATTGCCCAAATGTTTATTTTCTCCAATTTCAATCAGAGACGGATTTTCATATTTTCGTTCGGGGGGGTGGATAAAAATCTGGGGGGGTGCTGCTGCTTGCTTTGTCCAGGGCGTGGTGGCAATGCCCGGAAAGGCCAAGGAAAAAGTTGAACAAAATTTGTTTTCTAGGCCTGCATGGCGAGATCTGAGACCATAATATTGGTAATTTTACAAATTTAGTAGTAAGAACAATCAAATATGAAACTATCAAATCAAAATATATGTAATTTGCGGGGGTGCCAAATGCCTATGGGGGTTGCAAATCATTTCTGGTGGGGTGCGCACCCCCCTGCACCCCCAGAAAATCCGTGCCTGACTTCAATTAAAATTATGTATAACAATTGTCCAAAAGTTGTGTTGCGAAGCGGGTATTCGACGGTCAGTCGGTCACGTAATTTGATATTTGTTCACATTATGATTATGTGTAAACTAAAAAGGTGGTTAATACATGGTCCTTGAATATACTGAAAAAGGTCCTTGAAAGTCCTGGAAAAGTCCTTGAATTTCATCTTCACTAAAAGGTGGGGACTCTGTAATAACTACCTGAGAATATGGCTTCACTGGCGACAGTTATGCTCGTCAACTTTGGGGCCAGCGAAAAATGAAAATTTGAGTACACGCTGGTTAATACTGAGGGTGTTTGCTTGTTCGTATGTGGGTGGGGGCATAGTGCGTACCCTCAGCGCCCGTTCGCATGTACACGCAATGAAATGTTCTCTTTTTTAAAGGTTCAAATTTTTGTGGAAAGACGAGCAAAAGACACCGGTAAAAACAGACAATTACATAGCCGTAGACTCGCCAACCACGTAGGGAAAATGGTACCAAATATTCGTTATAGAATATACACGCGACAGGTACTGGGTACGAAGTCAGATAGAATGACGTCATTGGGTGGCGTCACCACAAGTCCATTTTTTACGTTTGCAAAAGGTTGATTGTGAATAGAAGCGAATATCTAAGATAGAAGTATTGATGTTTACTCCCAAAATCGAACAGAAAGGATGACTTCGGAATTTTATTGAACGATTAGGCATAGAATATATATTTTTAAATTTTTGTCATAAACAAATTTAGCTAACGTTGTTTGCATTATTGCTGCCTAACATGCCTAGTTCCTATTGTTCTAGTTTACATGAAGCTTAGAATAGACCAAAAGTAATGGACAACTTGCATGTTAGACTAAATTTTAATCGAAGTGAAGAGAAGGGAATCAAACGGCATAGCTAAAAAAAAAACATAATGAAATTTGTAAAATTGCAAAATTTGGTTGCGAAATGTTGTAAAGCTTAAAAAATATAGTCTTGCAAATTTTGTATATATGTTTGTATTACGTGCGAAAATTATTACCATTTTCGGCTCAAAAATGGTAACAATTTCCGCACGTAATACAAACATATACAAAATATGCAAACTTCGCAAGGCTATATTTTCTGTATTTTACAACATTTCGTGACCAAATTTTGCAATTTTACTAATTTTAATAAGTTCTTTACGGGAATTTACTTTTTTTGCCTAGATCAAAAACTAGTCTAACATGCAAGTTGTCTATTTTAAAAGCACTCAATGCCACTCATGCAGGTAATTCGACAGCTTAGTCACCTCTATTCTGTGCCTCTGTATACTAGAACAATGATAATTAGGCATTATAAACAAACCTTAGCCAGATTTGTCTATTGACCGCCAAAAAACAGAAATTTGATAATCTGTAAATTATTTTCGTATATCAATTAGTAATAAATTATGGTAGAATATTTTTTTAATTCATGAGTTTGTCGTTGCCAAATTATGCAGCTAATTACGTATTCAGTTTACTCTGCCCGGCAAAACAAGACAAAATTTTCTAATTTCTCATCCGACTTTTGTTCAAATGTATAAACCAAAATTTAATCAATTTGTCTTTGGGGAATGTCCATTAAATTCCTACAAATTTTCAGACGGGGCTGAAAACATAACCTCCTGGCCACGGAGTACTAACCATGCATCAATTCGCGAGAAAAACATAAGGTAGTTTTTACTGCGCATATCTGGCGGCCATGTTCTTAGCAAGTGCCCTAAAGAGAGGCATTAACCCCCCTGGAATATTAAATTTCAATATGTTTTCAGGGGGTGACAGCCTCTCTTTAAGGCACTTGCTAAGAACATGACGGACTGGAAAAATTCCTTGCGCGCGGAAATGGATGATTCCATCTATAGACGAGATTTTGATCTAGACGAGAAGAACGAAATCCATAACTATAGCTGGAAAGAGCGTCTTAAAATGAGTAAAATTGCAAAGTTAGGTTGCGAATTGTTGTAAAATGAGGAAAATGTAGCCCTGTGGCTGTGAAATGTGAATTTCGCAAATTTTGTCTATATTTGCCTTATACGCGCGGGACAAATAACCATTTTTGAGCCGAAAGTGGTTATTTTTACCGCGCGTAATACAAATTAACAGACCTGCCAACCTCCAACCGCAACGAATGTGGAGATCTGATAGAAAATTTCTTGAGATTGATCTCTTATTTTTGGAGATAAAATACTGAAAATGTGGGGTATTTCTGGATAAGACAATTACTGTAATAATTGCTTGTAGATGACTGATCCATGTTCCACATAGCAATTTTTAATTACCGTCCTCCAAAATAAAACTTTAACTCAACAGTTTACTTACAAATTCAACCTGGTCTTAGTCTATACGAGTGTATCTTACTAATTCGGGATACTATTCCAATTTTTATCCCACACACCCCTGTTGAGGAATCTTGGAATTCCAGAGGAAGGGGATGTTTTTCAAACACTCGCATTTTCAACCTTGCATATTGCTAGGGGGGGGGGGGGGGGTAAAAATCAAGTTCCTCAATGTGGGATAATATGAATATAAAACAGGAATAGCTCATTGGCCAATTTGAGAAGTTTCGATCTGCTTCCGCCATTTTCTTGCAGTAAATTTCCCGCTCTGCACTGGCGATACATTAATGGAGCATACCGCTTAGGTTATTGAAAATGGCGGAGCAGTTAGACTACTACTTGGTAATGAGTAAATAAACACTAAACAAATTAGATTTACCGTCAATGGCTGGTTTTATTTCATTTCAAACACTCCAATTTTAAAGTCTAGTGGTGGTTAAAATTTCAAAATCCGTGAGATTTGAAAATATTTCCGTGAGTCCGTGAGATAATGCCTGAATTCGTGAGTCACACGGGAAATCCGTGAGAGTTGGCACGTCTTCTGAAATATATACAAAATGTACGAACTTCACAGGGTTATATTTTCTTCATTTTACAACATTTAGCAACCGCCAATCTTTGCGGTTATACTCATTCTAAGACGCTCTTTCTAGCTGTATGTGGTGTTGGATTTCGTTCTTCTTGCCCCAAAATTTAGTCTTTAGCTGGATTCACCCATTAATAAGAAGTGAGCCCTCTGTATGGTTTTTACTCTGTCCTGGCGGAGAAAATGAAAGGAATGAATAACACTACTGACTAAAGCCTGACTCTAGTCGACTGTTATAGCATTTGCATATTTAGCGTGTGTATATAGGACATGAAATTATAACTCATTTGTCTTCCATTAGAAATTTACTTGATGAGGTTTCATTTCTGATCGGGAGCTCAAAGTAAGTTGCATGTTTTGTGCTACGGGCGGTGAAAGGGGGGGGGGGGAGTTTAACAAAGGTCGGTTATCTCGCTTTCCCGACTGACGAATTTCAGGGTTCCTTTAGGCAGTTAGTATAGGTAATAGTATGGTGTCGAGTGTAATTTGGATATAACATGCACGAGTGAGTTTTTCAAAGACCTCAAAATAGCACGAGTCCGAAGGACGAGTGCTATTTGAGGTCTTTGAAAAACTCACGAGTGCATGTTTACCCAAATTTCACGAGAAACCATGCTATTACTTATTAATAATTTGCATAAAAGTATTCGAGACAATCAAATTTGAACTTGGCCAAGTGCGGGAATCTTTCCGCACCGCTAAATGTGGCCATGATTGTTTTGAAAAAAGAATATTTTAAAGTTTTTCCCGCCAAAACATAGCTCAATTTTGATTGGTTCATAGTGGTTACAGAAAATTGCACCACTACAAAAAGATACCTTGCTACTACGTATAGGTTATTTTGAGGCAACGAGGGGATATGTGATTTATTCACCGAGGCGCGCAGCGCCGAGGTGGATAAACACATATCCCCGAGGTGCCTCAAAATAACGTACTTATTTTTCACACTGCGAGGTCGCGTTAATGAGTCAGAAAAGAAATAATTCTCAATGCCATATTGCTTTTGCGATGTTGTTTTTTCTCATTTTTTGTGCTGCAAAGACATTGCAGGTGAATATTAGAGGGGATTATTAATTGCAGGGGAATATTAGAGGGGATTATTAAACGGAAATTGAATAGAGTGGAATATTGAATATATTCCCCGATAAGAACAAAGGAAACCGAGCAGGGTGAAAAATAAGAAATGATAGCGTGCTACTACAAAAAGATAGCATGCTACTACAAAAAGGTAGCGTGCTACTACAAAAAGATAGCATGCTACTACAAAAAGATAGCGTGCTACTACAAAAAGATAGCATGCTACTACAAAAAGATAGCGTGCTACTACAAAAAGATAGCATGCTACTACAAAAAGATAGCATGCTACTACAAAAAGATAGCATGCTACTACAAAAAGATAGCGTGCTACTACAAAAAGATAGCATGCTACTACAAAAAGATAGCGTGCTACTACAAAAAAATAGCATGCTACTACAAAAAGGTAGCGTGCTACTACAAAAAGATAGCGTGCTACTACAAAAAGATAGCGTGCTACTACAAAAAGATAGCGTGCTACTACAAAAAGATAGCGTGCTACTACAAAAAGATAGCGTGCTACTACAAAAAGATAGCGTGCTACTACAAAAAGATAGCGTGCTACTACAAAAAGATAGCGTGCTACTACAAAAAGATAGCGTGCTACTACAAAAAGATAGCGTGCTACTACAAAAAGATAGCGTGCTACTACAAAAAGATAGCGTGCTACTACAAAAAGATAGCATGCTACTACAAAAAGATAGCATACTACTACAAAAAAATAGCATACTACTACAAAAAGATAGCATGCTACTACAAAAAGATAGCATACTACTAGCTACTTGTTATAAGAAATTGGCAAAGTCAAAGTTGCCTATACAACTACAGTAAAACTTGTCATGAAAACCTGTCATAGAAATTCTGCTCGTCTGTAACCGGTTTTAAACGGGCTTCGTATATGCATACATTCTCGTGGATTAAAATGGATTTACCAGGGTGTGACAGGGTAAACGGTTTATAACAGCACTTAAATATAATAGTTTTCACGACCTTGTTTTGACCCCAGCCAGCAGAGGTGGCTATAAAAATGTCTAATATTTATTCTTGCGTTAATTCCAGTCGCAATCCTACTGCGTCATTTCCCATTCCAAAGATTTTTCACTGCCATTCTTAATCTTGCGTCTTGACATAACTGTGGTCTTGAGATTTTGCATGATTTTGCAATCAGGTTGGTGTCGAAGTTGTATCGTGGACGTGGTAATCCCCCGGTAGACGTTATTTTTTATTCAGGGAATTTGATAGGGATTAGTAGAGATGGAGACTTATTGGCGAGATGCTATACATGTCGTTAATATGATTTTTTTTATAAAAATGGGTATTACAGTATTTCTATTATATTATTGGTGTCAGAAAGCGTGTAGTAAGAGGGGTTAAAAGAGGTAAAACAGTGAGATTGTCAGATTTTGAATTAGCTGTGTGGTGATCATGAAAAAAACGATTAACGACCATAATGTATATAATGGTCTGAAAATGTGAAAATTATTTAAATTTTCGAACGAAAACTATGTATAATCATGGATAATAAAATAAATGGATAGGAAACTAGCTGACGTGACCTAATGTTTTCAATGGGCTGATGGCGTGATTGGATGTTGAAACCTAGTTGCAAACCAAATTCTCAAAAACGGCATGTTTAGCAATAATGCAGCTAAACATTTTAGTCAAAGAGCAAATGAATATAACTACGCCATTCTACGATGAAATCTCTAAGTATTCCCAGTCAATTTTAACAAATATTTCAAGCACTAAACAGTGAAAAAGGCATCCCAAATTTCGTTAAAATTGGGGACGCCAATTTCATAGCTACAAATGTAAAAAAAAATACAAAACAAAGACGAAAAACATTTACCTTGAATACTTTGTCGTGGCTTAGGCATGTTTTTAAAACAATTAGACCGGTTTATGCTTCAATATTGCTCTTTTAAGGCGGAAAATATAGCAAAACAACAAAAATGCAGAGAACTTTGCACGTCACAGATTGCAACTAGGTTGTTTTTGCTTACGTCAGCGAGAGTCCTATCCATTTATTTTATTATCCATGGTATAATATACACACATGAACAGAAATTTGGATTTTAAAATCGACATTCCATTAACAATGGCTGATAGGTTATCAAACGAGATGTCCAAATCGTTGCCTATAATTTCAGGAATTTTAAAAGCACTTTTCTACTCTCGGTGTAGGGTACTGAATGAAAACCCAATCTTCAATTCAGTTTTGCAATTACTCCGTAATTATATTTTTCAAAATATACTTTGATGAAATTGCTTTATCCGCAGTGTGAATAATTAATTGTAACTGAGGGGGAAAGTGCTACGTTCAACACGCCACTAATAGACGATTCCCATTATACACTAATTTTAAAACAAGGCAAAGAGATGCAAATAAATCACCACAGCTAGAAAGAGTATACTAAAATGAGTAAAATTGCAAAGTTTCGGGTTGCGAAATGTTGTAAAATACGGAAAATATACCCTGCAAAGTTTCCAAATTTTGTATACTTTTCATGCAGTATTGCGTGCGGAAATTGACACCATTTTCGGCCCAAATGTAAAAGTATACGAATTTGCGAACTTTGCAAGCTATATATTTTCCGCATTTTACAACATTTCGCAACCAAACTTTGCAATTTTACTAATTTTAGTATGCTCTTTCCGGGAACATACTTTTTTTTGCTAAGATAAAAAATTAGTCTATAATGGGAGTTGTCTATTAAAACCTGTTTTAAGATGTTTATCTTTTTTTGCTCAAATGTGCTGTCTGAATATGGGGAATGTTTATTTGATAGAGACAAAATCAGCAATTTTCCGGGGGGCGGTGATGGAATGTTTAAGTGGGAGAATGCCACCCTGCTAAAACTCAATCTTCTGAAAAAACGGTAGTAGACTAAAATGTTTGTATAAATCTCTGAATCTACCACTGACAAATTTTGAAACCATATATAAATTGGGGAAATTTCTGAGGTAGTCATGTGGCATGAAGCTATTAAGTGGATGATAGTTACACTTGTAACCTAAAACCATCTAGACAAACGCTAACTCTTGGCAAACAAGGGGGTGTCATATCCGTTCATGACATGATAGATTTCAAAATATAAACCATAGACATTAAAACAAGAATATCTTCCGCGATTGAAACAGCATTGTCATACATTTCTCCTTGAAGGTTTTCAAATAAAGAAAGAGGACAAATTATCTCAGTTTCTCAATGCTTTGGCAAATTTGGTAAGTTTATGTAGATTAGTAAACTAGGTATTTGTTTGCCTAATTTATTCGCGAGGTATTAATGCGGAGGAACATGCGAAGACACATAACATGCGCCACAAGTTAGCAGCGCTATTTCCGCAAATTGTTCAAAGGTCTTCGACTTCCCTTAAGAAGTGGGGCGATCTTTCATTAATTTACTCAAACCACAGAGCGCTATTTTTCACAGCGTCCATCTAATTTGCTATTGTTTGTTTTGGCGCGGGTCGTTTACAATGTAGCGCAGGACATATATCATCATTTACATGAAATGCGCACGTATCTGAGGGTATATTAGGTCACTAAGCTTACTTCATACCAGACTATTATTTCTGAGTTACTGTGCTATCCGAAACTCGCGTTTAATGCTAATGAGTTGTTTTACAGTCTACTAGATGTGAAAGAGTGTTTGTCTCCGTATGCAGACAGCACGGGTTTAATTTATTATTTATATACTTTAGTGTATTCAGGGAGGCACATTTGACTGCGGTTAAGCGTTGACTTGACACATTCAGGAGTATTGAAATGTGAAACGCGTATGATTCTCTTTATTTTATCCAACTCCGGTAAATGTATTTGTATAAATTTGTCTAAATATACTCCGTATATACCCAGAAGATTGATCAATACAGATAAAATCACATTAAGTCTATGACTTACGATTACTAAACATGTGCATTGGTTGATTAGATCTCCAATTTTCTTTTGTATTCGGATAGACGAAAACAACAATACAAGTTTCTATAATGTTGGACATCGAATTTGTTTCAAAGTGCATTTTGTTTGACAACAGAATGTATTAATAACGCATTTGAGCGGCAGCGGCATTCCCCTTGACGAATAAATTCGTTTGGCGTTAAACAGAGTAAAATAATAAAGGCAAGTATTCAACTATTTTACTACTATTCAATCATTTGAATATGCAAACTTTCGCTCAGAGAATAATCGGTTTCCGTACGGTTGAAATTAGAAATGCACATATGCAGAAGACAAAATAATGAAAATATGCTAGTGCAAAAAATATTTAATGACAGTTCCATGGCTATACCGTGACAGGGCCGTAGGAAGCTCTTTTCGATTGGGGGCACGAGGAAATTTTTAAATCTAGAGTCTCTGAAATGCCATTTCCTTTGGGGAAGATTTGACAGAATTCTGATAGTCAGAAAACAGCGTTTTAGTATGTCGAAATTTACAATTTAGTAGTACTAAATAGGCGAAGGCGTATTTAATTAACTATATATTGAATAAGTTGCAGGTAAGTATGGGTAATACCTTCATTCTTTGCAGTTTGTCACGGATTAAATGATAAAGGTGTGTATGATTTTGAAAAAAGAATGATTATTAGCAAATTATTGGGGGGGGGCTGCAGACCCCCAGCCCCCCCCCCCCGGTTGCCACGGCCCTGAGCGAAACACAGGTGATGATTGAACAGTGTAATACGTTGACACGCATATTCTAATCCTTCCAATCTCACTACATGTTATAGTTCAAATTTATCCCTGCGCAGAACGTGTCATTTGGATGCGCAGTGGAATCTCCGAATTACGTAAAACTTTGGATTTAAGTAGAAAATATCTTGACAAGTTGCCATTTTGTTAATGTACATTTTGGAATTAGGAAATGCTGTTTGACTGTTTAATTGGTAAAATCCTGCTCTGCGATCCTCGCTTAGCTCCATGAATTGATATAATACATATGAATGAATGTCTATGTACAAATTTATAGTATCTATCTCAGGGCAGGTGTCATTCGCATACAGAAATATTTTATTTGCTGGATTAAACGTAGCTTAGCCTGTAAGTAAAATACCTTAACAGGTTTAAAATAACATGCAATGTGTACCTTAGCAGTCAGTACGCATTTTTCTTGCCCAGATTGTATCCTTGCATAATTAAATTTACTCAAATGAATAAACACAACTTATAAGAGGTTTTGGGGGGATAGATGTTTAATAGAGCCATTTTGGGTACGAATTTTCGGATGAAGAATTTAACAAGTATAAAAGTTGGTACACAGGGCGTACAATTCCAACGCGAAGTTGAAAAATTAACGCGCCAAATTAAATATACAGGGTGTGTCAAAAAAGGAAACCTTTAGAAATTATCCTGTTGTTATAATTTGAATGCCTGAGCACTATGTTGAACGCACAAGTGCGTAAGATATTGACAGGGTGCTTATATTAAAGAAGGAGAGCTTTAGAAATTAAAATATCCTTGTTAAGCACAAGATTTTCTGCTGCTGGGAATTTAAAATAGCTTCTAATAGCATAAAGGAGAATAACTACACAAAAAATGGTCAAATTACAAATTAGTCATACTATCGGTATGTGTGTCGATATAATGTCACAGAATAGTATGGCAATGTTTATACGCTATCAAAAAAGCGTATATTAGCGTATATTTTTGAAAGAGTGTTGTGAATTTGGGTTTGAAACTAAAAACTGAACAGCTGGAAATCGTTGAGACGTTTTGGCAAGTTTTCTCATTGGATATCTGCCTTGACAAGTCGAAGAGCATGAACTACAATAGTAATAAATTAAGTATATTTATAGTTATTACTCACACTGCATCATGCACACGGATTTCAGAAAATATGATTGGTTGGATTGGAAATAAATTATCATAGTAATTAGTGGGCGGTTATCAAATTTCCTTGAGATTGTTGCAGGCTCTCATTTACCCATTGAGCCTGCCACGCAGGTTACCCTACACAGGGTGTCCCCCAAAAAGTAGATCTTTTGAAATTTTTCTATTTTAATAATTTGAATGCCTGAGCATTATGCTGAACGCAGGAAAGCGTAAAATACAGGGTGTATTGAAATACAGACCTTAGATTAATAAATAATTCGTTATTTCAATAGTTTTTGTGGGACGCCCTATAGATCTGTAAAATAGAACAATGGTAACTCGACATCTCTAAAGTTGTAAATGGGTCGCAACGATGTAAACAACGTTACAAAAATTGGCTGTGTTTGTGTATGTTTATTTATTTATTTACATATTTGTTCATACCATTATGATTGTTTTCCAGATAACGAGTGTTTGAATTGTTCTCGTACATTTTGCAGTCATGGACAAGAAACCCAAGCCAAAACCACGAACAAGGTATAAGATTTAATTTTTAAGTCATTAAATATTCATGAGCAAAACACGAACGAAACTATTAAGGTTCTCTTAAAATGACGCCTGCCTGGTTTCCATATATGGTCGTAATGTTGGAAAAATAGAGCCCTTAACTTATGATTTATATATGTAAACCACATATAAATCATAAGTATTCTCTAGTTAGAATCACTCCACGTATTATTTCCAGTTCGCAATTGTTGTATTTCAGCTGATGAGAAAGATCGTGTCATCGTGACTTGATCTTTACGAGCAGGCTTAAATATCTTATATACACTATGATAGTGCATCTAATTATTCTGCAATTCAAAAATTGAAGCCGTGATTGCAGTCTCAGGTCGTTCCCATGAAATGAGAAGATTCGTATATTTCCTATTTCTTAAACAGGGAACTTAAATATTAAGTTAACTCTATTCCAAATACATTTTTAAAGTATTCAAATGATGAAAGTTATTGTTGTTGTTTAAGCGTTTATTAGCGAGTGGGAACGACCAACATGGCCGCCATCTATTCAAATGGGGGTAACCGCTGGAATATTCTTGGCTTCAATTTTACTAAAAGAGATGCGCTATCTAGTGTATATAAGATATCTATGCTTAAGATGTAGAACGGCAAAGCGACGACGACGCGGCCATGCAAAACAAATTCATTCAAATAAACGATTATAAAGAAAGCTTATCGTATATTATCAATCGTATGAATTTAATACGGCAGCCCGAAGAGAACTAAACAGAGGCTTTTATTGAGTAGAGTTCCACATTAGTACTGAACCAATTTGCCGAGTACCCACTTCTTACATACTAAAATGCAAACGTTGTACACAAGATGAAAAATCTCTGGTTCACCGGTTGTAAACGGACCGTGGACGACTTCTAAATCTCCCGTGGGATCTTAAATATTATTAATTTCATTATGGTTCTAGATCATATAATAGCGAACTTAAGTTGAGCTAAATCTAGCACGCGGACGTGACAAAAAAGACAGTTACTTATGCTTTTCTTTTGGCCATTTGTTACAGTTTAAATTTGTTTTTCACCTGTGTCCTTCTTTGTTGACAAAAAGAATCCATATTTTTTACCCGCGTGTTGCTGACACTGCGAATTTAGGGTGTATTTTTTGTCACATCAAGATTTACCTCAGGTCTCTGTTGTCTTCATAAAAACTCGGCTAGTGGCTCGTTTTTAAACACACTTCTAGCCAGCAATAAACGCTTTCTCGTTTATTTTATATTACCATCATTAGTAATTTAGTATAGTTGTCTAGTAAAAACGTTATATTTTAAACACGCTGACCATGTCAACTTAAGCTGCTTTCCACGAGGGCGTGCAAAAAGAATAAGAAATTAGGAGAAGTAAGCTATTTACAGGGATTTGGAAAAGAACTAAGTCACATTGTCTATTGGTCTATTTACAACGTACGTTATTCTATTGTTACGGTCAAAGGTGTGAGTAGTAATTTTATTTTTAACACAAGAGAGAGATTTGCTCTCCCTTATCTGGTAGTTTATTTATTTATTTATTTTACAACGTGAATAAAATATTGTACGTGAATAAAATATTAAATTTAAGAAAATACATATAGATGAAGGAAAAATAAGAATCCCAAGAATTAAGACCAACCAAAGAAACATTAACACACTGATATATTCGAACAAATATTAACAGTATTCGAACAAATGTTAACATGAAAAGTGCATGAAATGAACCTTTAAAAGCAACAAGTTGGGTTGTACAGTAGGAACGACACTTGGAACGATAAGTTTGAAAAGGTAGTGAGAATACAGATTGTTTTGGAAAGAGGAAATAGAGGTACATTCAAATAATCCAGTTGAAAAACGAGTCTCCTTGGTAAACAGAGAGAACTTGATATGCCTAGGGACGAAACGTCGATATTACGTGGGGGGGGGAGGGTGAGCTTGTTTTGCCCGACCAAAAGGGCGTATGTTGAGTTATATAAGAGGAAGTACTTCATGTTGTGCAGTTATAGTTAACTCGTTTCCAGTATAGCAGGCAGATTTTTCGTAAGTTTTTTTTCTAATATAAATATAATAGAATTTTTTTTCAAATTGTATGGATATAGCTTACGAGATCAGCTAATAGAAACTGGGGAAGGGAGGTCCACACCGCCCGGCAGTTTCGCCCCTGGATAATGCCTCGAAGTTCATAGTTTGTTATTTCAATTTCATGAGTGAAAAGACGTGTCAGTGACCGGATTTGGGCCCCATTTTATTTAGAAGCCTGAACATTGGTTTTGCTTTTTTCCTCTCTATTTTAAGAAGCTCCCAGCCTAATGGCTTAATGCAATGCTGAAAGTCTGGATGCTTCCTTGCTGGATTCTTCCTCGAGCTAAAAAATGTCCTTATTTTTGGTGATACCCTTAACATTATGCCAAGTTGTGTGATTTTATCATCTAATGCACATGACAATTTTGTTATCTTACTTTACATTATACATGAACAAAATCATACGAAAAAAGTTCTCTCTAGACTGGAGGGAACTTTTTCAGGCAAGTAGCTATACGAAGCACTTCAGATAAGAATGCAGATTGTGTTTGTGTAGTATTAATGTATGCAGTCTTAAAATGCAAATGAAAGAATCATTAAGAACCGGTCCTTCTCTTCATAAACGTGTGGCATTATGCATTCCATATTTTCAAACAATTAAACGACGTTTAAGCAATGTTTCCACGCTGTTCGACGGAACGATTAGACATACTCGAAGTCATTCTATACCACAGCTTTCCGGTGATAAGAAAACATTTGCGAGCGCTCAAGTCAAACTGTGCATAATTTTCACACAAGAGCAGTCTCGGCAAATGCAATTACTATACGAGGTCTTGGCGTGATATGATCTGAAGCGGCGACCCTATGGGCTTCATTTTCTACTCAAAAGCGATCCCAGTTAGTCTCGAGATTAAAACCAAGATACCTTCGATTTGGGAGGAATTGTATGGCATATAACTTCAAGATAATTTCAATTTAGTTTGAAGAAATCACACAACATTGTCATTTGCAGAATAATATCAAAAGGTAAACAGCCACAAAGTTTGCTCAAGGTTTGCGAGTGTAATCCCTTACATATGTTGTTGATTAAGGAGCGAATGATGCTAAATATATTCTAGTTTAAATTGGGGTTGTTTGCTAGTGGATTTTAAGATTAGTCTGCGATGTTTATATCAAGTCGTATTTGCAAATGTGGGGGCGCGAAATTAAGTTGTTGAATGTTGGCCATAATTAGCACCTCCGAATCAAATACATGATATGTGTACTGAACATTTTTCGTTATTGTAAGAAATTTTGTTCGGCTATTTTCGCTATTTTACTCATGTCATTGGAATTGATTGCTCGCTCACATTATTTTCTGCAACTAAAAGGCGTTTATTATAACGGAAAGCCCTCTTTAAAACCGACAAAAGCGTTCGTGAGTCGTCCTGTCTAACTAAAGTGTTTATTATGCTCCCATACTGCAAAGCTAGTTGAGCATATCCCCATATCCCTTTTTTGTAGATTTAATCTAATTCAAACTGTAAAATATTCTATATAGATACTAATACTATAAATCTTATTAAATGTTAAGCTGATAAGTTGTATGTCATAGCATACTGCTATTATATTCGCTAAATACAGAAGCAATTGATTTAGTCCTAGCCCTAGGATGACAAATCCATTCGTTGGCAGTTTATTCGTGCGGAATTTTTGTCTTGAAATATTCATATATGAATGTAGAATGGAAAATTGATCGAAACTGCAGTCGTTGCCATGCACGTTGGTATCATACAGCAGTCAAACTGTTTATATTTCGTTTTATTTCAAATTAATTATTAGTACAGCTACGGGAACGTAATTGTATAACGTATCATTTCATGTTGGTAGTAAATCTAATTTTAAATTTACACTTCGGACAACAAATGTTTGGTTTCTAAGTGTGTAAAGCAAATCGAACCTGCCTGGGCAAAACACTGCCATGGCGCAAATTGCTTTAGTCACAGCTTGTTTTACAGAACAATGCAATTGAAATTTCGTTTTTGTCTTCTGAAGACCTTATGACTTGCATAACATATACATTGCATAACACACTCAGACGAGATATTGGTCTCAGCGCTTTCGTCTATAGTTATTTTAACAGTTTTATTGTATGTTAAACACATGAGCTGTAAATGTTTTTAAGCAATTCACTTTTGGTATTTGCTTGAGGCATTTCACGTTGAATTTCGTTTGCATTTTGCGATACAATTCGGAATTAACGTAGTCACAATTATAGATACAAATACATTCTAATTTTTCTAAATTTCTTTCAACTTGGTGATTAATGTCGCAAAACAGATACATTAAATGTTTCAGGGAACTGACTGAGTGTTAAAAATGAGTCAGTTCTCTCAAGAATTTCTTACAAATCCTTCAAAATTTCGAATTTACCTACGCAAAAATCCAACTGTGATCACATGCAGAAACTTCGACAAAGTGTAAACTAGCCTATACCTTGAGTGTGTGGAATTTTACAGTATTACTATATTGGTTAAACATCTCCATATAAAATCGTTGGAACAAGGAAATTAAGTTCAGTCTATAAATGTTTAAACCCTTCAATGTGCGCCTGACAATTCACGATTACAAGTCATAGCATGTGGTACTATGACAATGTATGTTTTCCAACATGATATCCGAGCTTCTAATTTGCATTCGGTAGCCTATACATTTTGCATTAGGTAAAAAATATCAGCCCAACCGCTACACTTACCACAAGCCTCGTTCGTTAAAAAATCATTCTCTAGTTTTATTCAGTTCATGTGTTGAAACGTTTTACTGAAGGCACATGCAGGATGTAATGATTTAAAAGGCGAAGCAATTTTAATTAGTATTAAATAATTAACCAACACAATTGTCCTGTACTCACTCTGTAGGCTGTACAAGATGTGTAGCTATATATAAATGCATTTTATACTGCATGCACTGCAATGCATTTCATTTCGTTTCTTTTTACGTTGCCTGATTCAGTGATTGTTTTCGACAATTTTATTCATGCATAACGATATTCCATAAACAGTTTAAACGCAGGAGCCAATATCAACCATAGCTTGGTCACGACAAAATATAATTGGCAAAATGCCTTGTATTTTGTAATTCCGGTTTTCGACATGGTATCTGACTGTGTGGCTGACGGTTTAATGGATTGTGGTCGAATTTACGACAATATTTACACAAGTTACAAGGCATAACAACTGGTGTTAATCCTTAGTAAAGTTCTGTTTCCGTAGCGGGCAATTGTGGGCATTAACATAGTCGAAATTCATTTATATCGTGTATCTAAAATGGAGTCCACTTTTAATGGGTTTGAAGACGAACACGAGGAGAGTTTTGACAATGTCAATGAGTAAGTGTTACGTTTGTATTTTAAATATACGAAAACTTGTACTCATTACTACAACCGGTTTAAACAACAGCTGTGTATGACTATAACTCATAAATATATGTTGAACTTGACATGCACATTCATCTAGCAATAGCATTATCATCGACCATTCATATATTGACATTGGTTCTTATTTTTTGCCATTTTTGTATAGAATATATATTTCTTTATGATCTGTATCAATTTGTCAATAATTGAAACTATATTAGTTTAATTAACTATTATCTGTGATATAACATAAATAATTTAAATGGATTTTTAGTTGCTTTCATTGACATCAATTGAAAACAAATTTTTAGTATATTATCGAGTGAGACAGAGCTCAATATATCAATAGTATATTATATATTCTATATTCTATAACTGATAATTTGAAATATAGTTTATGCTATAATAACATATAAAATAGTCTATTAATCAGCTATAATTGCATGTCCGCTGTTTCATTGACATTGCATTGTTTCTCAAATTCTTTGCATTTTTTGTAAGGAAACACATATTTCGTTATCCGAAATTTAAATCGTAAAACAATGATAACAGTTAAATTTATCAAATAATAAACTATGTTTATAGCTAAATTGTCATGTTCATTATTATATTAACGATTGTATTTTTATGATCGAATAGCTAAACTGACCATATATGTACAAACATGATAACTTTCCTAAACTTAAAGTGTGTATTTGATCTAAAATTGTCGTTATTTGAATTTTTGCTAATTGAATATGTCAATTTTGTATATATATATATATATATAGATACCGATTTATCTCTTTTTATAATGTATAAATGATATATCTCACATTAATTATCCATAATGATGTATGTACAATTATCCATAATGATGTATGTACAATTGTTAGACCGATTTACACTAAACAACTTTTGCTTAAAACTGTCGAATGCAACCTGCTTATAACTTAGGTTAATTGTACTGTGAAAATCAAACACATACAACTCACGTACCTACTGTACGTTGTCGTAAGCTACTTGTGTACTTGATTTACACAGTACAACTCATGTTGTAAGCATGTTGCATTCGACAGTTGTGTGTAGTGTAATTGTAATTAGAAAATAAAATGTTATCACTATATTTATCCAATTTTTCAATCATTTCTACATTTCTTGCATATGAATAACTTTACCAAAAATTTTAATGGGAGTACTATTACACATATATTAATAGTCTGCTTTTTTCACTTCCGTCTACAGCCTTGCAGCATATATGTAGAAGTCTGGAAGACTGTATAATACCGCAATTATTTGTCCCTGGAATTCTTTTTTAATATATTGACGTCCTGTTGTGTAGAATTTTGGAACTTTATTAATTAAACATTCTAAAACCAAGGCAGCCAGACATTTTTAAGATATGTGTTCTTATTTACTTCAAAATCTTTGTTTTTAGCCTTGATTTACTTCAAAATCACATCAGCCGTACTATTGTCATTTAATCCAATGAGTATTTAAATTTCTGGGGGGAGGGGGTTTGCAAATTTCCTCTAGGTAGGGGAGAAAAATTTTGAGGGTCTGTCTATGACTGTAGCTTTATTTTACTTTACTTTACTTTACTTCAAAAGTGTTTATGAAATTAAATTTTGCCCATATTTTTTTATTGCATCACTGAAAAGTATGTTTAAAATAATAAAGAATGGCGGTTATAGTTTATTCATATCTCATTTCATTCCCAAGTTATAGTACTTTTTGTTATTTCGAGTTATAACGTTACTGGTTGTGTTTGAGATGGAAGCAAATGGGAGAAAGTCTAATATCCCAGACGTGCTTCAACAAAATTAAATGAAATTTGGTACAGTTGGCAAGTGCACTTGGCCAAACATTTTGGTATGTTTATATTGTTGTCATGGCAACAAACTAGCTACCAGGTCTCTCTCTTCCATTTACCTAATCCTTTCCCTTCAAGGAAATATAATGCAATTTTTGCAATTTTCATTTATTGATATAGTTCTTACAGACGTTGAGCTAAGTTTAAGGTGTTAACGTTTAAGCTACAAACGTGTTTTTTTTTGTTGTTTTTTTTTCTCTGTTGGTGTTATGTACTATATCTCAAATGTTTGTTGTAAAGCATCCATATGGTAACTAGTCGGTTGTCATAACAAACATATAAATATACAAAAGGTTTTCTTAAGTGTACTTTACTATAATCGTACGAAATATCATTTACTATTGTTCAATCACCTCTGAGATATTAGACTCTCTTCTTTTTGCTACCATCTCCAGCCCAACCAGTGGGCCTCATAGCTCAAAATACAGAATGCCTGGTAACTTGGGAATGAGATGAGATATGAACAAACTGTAAAAGCCATTCGTCACTATTTTGGACACACTTTCGAGTGATGCAATAAAAAATTGGGGTAAAATTTCATTTCATAAACACGTCTGAATTGCTTTGTCTGAACTATTTCTTTGCTTGCATAGCGTTGAACTTTGTTCTTTGTATTCTTTGTTGGTGGAAATATCCACGTGATATACAGTATAGCTACATTTTGCAAAGATTTCGATCCATCAGCGCTGATCTTCATATGCTTTCAAGGTCCTATCAGTTTTACATGAAAAGGTCATGCATATATAAAGTTCGACAACGCTTGTTGTATAGTAATTAATTGCACTGGTGATTATTGATGATCGTCGATTGTTTAGTTCCACGTGAAATGGACAGCCATTCATACAGATTATAAATAACACCAGAGAGGGCATCATAATCTTAATTCAATCAAAGAAAGGGAATGCGGGTATTGAGGGGCAAACAATTAAAATGCTAAATTAAGAACTAGTTTGAGCCAAAATCTCTAAATTCTTTGGTTGATTTTTACCAAGCATTTATACCTCAATTTTGTCTATAACACAATCAGTTTGAGAGCGCTCCAAAATAATGCTGATGTCAGCAATGTTGATCTTTTCAAGAGGAATTAATTGTTTGAATTCAAAATTTGGGGGGAATGTTTGTAGTAATGACATGAAAAACATATAAAACACCCAGTTTTGTGACTCTTGTTCTAAATTTTCTGGTTTCAAGTGTAACCTAAGAATTGTGCGGTGTTCATCTGGGATTTCAATTTGCCCCCCATTACCGCGCTCCCAAATTTCACCCTCGATGGCCCCCTCTAGCGTTATTTATAATCTCTATGCAGCCATTTGTCAAAAAGCTGCAACTAAGTGTTTCAAGGGACAACATGTAATCACATTGCAACTATTCCAACGCTGTAAAGACATGTATAAATCGAGCATAATTTGGCTGTAGGCTATATCCATTAAAGAAGAACTATTTTTAACTCTATCTTCTTAATCGACAAAGTCATTATAGTTACAGCTCCTTAAGATAGATAGTTAGATAAACTGGTTCATTAACTTGCCTTGCAGCAAAAGAGCTATATTACGTAACATTTACTGCACCCTTTAGAATATTTGTTATATATAATAGTACTATTAAATAGTACTAATAAAGAAGAACTATTTTTAACTCTATCTTCTTAATCGACAAAGTCATTATAGTTACAGCTCCTTAAGATAGATAGTTAGATAAACTGGTTCATTAACTTGCCTTGCAGCAAAAGAGCTATATTACGTAACATTTACTGCACCCTTTAGAATATTTGTTATATATAATAGTACTATTAAATAGTACTAATAAAGAAGAACTATTTTTAACTCTATCTTCTTAATCGACAAAGTCATTATAGTTACAGCTCCTTAAGATAGATAGTTAGATAAACTGGTTCATTAACTTGCCTTGCAGCAAAAGAGCTATATTACGTAACATTTACTGCACCCTTTAGAATATTTGTTATATATAATAGTACTATTAAATAGTACTAATAAAGAAGAACTATTTTTAACTCTATCTTCTTAATCGACAAAGTCATTATAGTTACAGCTCCTTAAGATAGATAGTTAGATAAACTGGTTCATTAACTTGCCTTGCAGCAAAAGAGCTATATTACGTAACATTTACTGCACCCTTTAGAATATTTGTTATATATAATAGTACTATTAAATAGTACTAATAAAGAAGAACTATTTTTAACTCTATCTTCTTAATCGACAAAGTCATTATAGTTACAGCTCCTTAAGATAGATAGTTAGATAAACTGGTTCATTAACTTGCCTTGCAGCAAAAAAGCTATATTACGTAACATTTACTGCGTCCCTTTAGAATATTTGCTATATATAGTAGTACTAAAAAATTGTTTAAGATGATTATTTCAGTTCAATGCAAAACTACGATGTGATCCATTTGTCCTAAGAACATATAGCAATTAATGTACAAAAAGCTTGGTTGGGTCTATAAATTGGATTGGCGACGGTAAATCTAAGTATAGACAGCTGCTGTGGGAAAGATATACACTGAAAAATATTGGCAGAATTTCGACGTTTCTACGGCGAAGGAGCTAGCGGTATCCACGCATCCTTCATATCGGCTAGCTGTCTGCAGTTCTCATCTTTACCTGCACTGGCACCGAAGTATATATATGAATATCTGCCATAAAACACGTGGCAGAGCAAGCTTTCATGCAAACTAATTTGCTCTAGGCTATGTAAAACGTGTACTGCCTTTATGTCTATGCTCTTGTCTCGATGCGCTTGTTAGTTTTCCATTTATTTGTAATTGATTCACATATGTCCTCTTGCGAAATCTCACAACGTTTTCTTTCGCAACAGACCGGTCATTACTTTTGGCGGGGGTGGCACAGAAGGGAAAAGGAAAAGGTTGGGTAAATGAAAAACAAAAAAACTCAAGGGTTGAGAAATAAATTTTTTTTTGTCATTTCCAAAGCATGATTCAAATATTGAAGACTAATAGCAATGTCAACAGTCACATGTCAATGCATTATCAATCAGAGTCACTAGCTATCTTGATCGGGAGGCAAATGGTGTCTCCAAAGTACTTGTGCGGACAACATGAAACTTTAGACTGCAGAAAATTGCGCAAGCAGTTATCAAACTCGCGTGGTAAAGGATATGTGTGACAACTGAATGGAATCCTTTTCTAAGGTTTTCTGGCCAGGGGTGGGTATTTATTTTTTAATTGATATTCGAAGTTGGGTAAAAAGATTGACATTTTAATGGTTGGATCAGCAAAATGTTTACCAAGATAAACATTTCTCTTCAGTGCCATAAATAATGACTGGTCCCTAATGAACTATAGACATGCATGCATGCTAGAAAAAAGTACAAACGAAAAGATGGTACATGGTAAATATAGAAGCAGTAGGTTCTAGCTAGAAAAGTAAGAGAGGGAAGGGAAAGTAAAGGAGGGTTGAAAATAATGAAAGAAGGAAGGAGAATTGATATTGGAAATGATATATATGGTAGATATACTGTATTCGTGAAAGTAGAATTTTTTAGACATTCTAGTGATGCTACTTAGTACATTATATTGTTCCTATCCGGGTGTCATACCATGCATTACAATATTACACTATATCATAGCACACCAGACCAGACTATGTATTACACAACGCAAACCAAATCAAACCAAACCAAACCAAACCACACCATACCATACCATACCACCACAACATGACATAACATGTTATGCAATGCCATCCCACGCCAAACCATACAAGTCAAGCCATTTCAAATCATACCATGCAATACAATGCTGCACCACACCACACCATGGCAAACCAAACCACATCACACCACACCAAGCGAAACAGCATCATACCACACCATACTACATTAACTCCAACATTAATACGGCAATTTTACATAATTCCTTTCTCTTTTCAGGCGTTATGAAAAATCCACCAACCATGTGGAAATAAACGACGATACGCGGGCGGCATTAACCTCCAACACCTCACCCCGGTTGTTGCCGGGCGTCGGCGACATTCTACACGAAGTAAAGAACTTAAAACAACAGCTAGCAACAGTTAAAGAAGAGAGGGACGAATTCAAGGAAGAAGTAACCTTTTTGAAATACCAGTTAGCATACCGGGCACAAGTTGAGAACTTACAAAAAGAAATGAGCGAAAAGAAGGACGCGAAGCCTGGGTCCAAGAAAACGAAGTCAGTACGATTTGCGGCGAGCATTGCCGTGAACGATCGACACCCTTCCGAAGATGAAACAGATGATTCTATCGATGGGTCCTCCTTTGAGGAATCCATAGACGAAGTCGATTCTAGTTTCGATGTTGACGAATATGAACGACTTAGGACTCAAACGGAAGAGCTACAAGATGTCCTATATGATTTTTATCACGATTCAAAAATGGATGGGAAAAACGGCAACATACTCATTGGCGATATAGAAACCCACCCGTCGGAGTCGATAAGCTCTTTAGTATGCAGAGTGTTGGTTAATTATGATAAATTATGCGAGGAACATCGGATACTCGAGGAGGAGAAGTCGAAGCTTGACGAAGATAAGATTCAGTTAACGAACTCGATGGCGAAACTTCGCGAACAACTTCACGATGCTGTTGATTCAAATATCGAGGAAATTGAAGATTTGAATCACGAGAATGAAAACCTACGTTCTCAGGTTAAAACTTTAGGCGGGAAAAACGCTGACATTGTCTCAACCTTGATAAAAGCCCGGGAAGAATATATTAATCGTTTAAAAGCTATAAGCGACATTTCTAAAGGTTCGAACTCTGATAAACTTCTACAAAGGTTGAAAAACGATTCATTATTGGCCGATAACGAGCTTAAAGAGGCCAAAAAGCTGGTCGAAAAAGCCGAAGAAAATAAAAGTAGTAAACTAAAGCGTGTTCAATCACTACCGTCGACCCTCAGACAAGACTCGGCGGAAAATTCTGAACGTGGCGGTCTCTTACGCGAGCTTAAAACTTGTAAAAACTTACAAGAATCACAACGGAAACAAATTTCGAAAATTTTAGATGAAAAGTTAGCTTTGGAGACTCAAGTTTCGGAACTGAAGCGACACGTTGTTTTGTTGAAAGCTGAGAGAAGGGTGAATGTTAAAACGAAGTCGAAACTGAGTCAAACTGAAGGAGATCAAGGAATCGAGACGAGGGTTAATGGGTTGAAAGATCCAGAACCGACATCTAGCGTTGAGGTGGAAAGCCTCACTCGAAGGAGTAAAGATCTTGAACAAAAGTTGGAGCAAGTTAAACAAGAGAAATTAGTCTTGGCAGGAGAGAAGACATCGTTGCTGTTGTCGTTCGACGCAAATATTGAAAAGAAGGATGCCCTAGAGGCACAGCTCGCTGCTTTGCAAGAGAAAATGAATGAACGTGGACAACCGAGGGCATTGGGCACGAATACGGTTTCTACACAAACCGATGGTTCATTTGAAAATGTTGAGAAACCACTTAGCGAAACCGATGGTGGCTTCCAAGCGGGATATAAAGGCATTTCTGAAGCAAAGGTAAGGATTGAGACCCTGATGGAACAGCGGCCTCTGCCTTGTAATGGACAAATAGTGCTTTTAACCTTACAAGTGCCACAACCAGGGATCAATTTAACGGTCGGCCACCGGCCATTAGCCGAGCAAAATGCTGATATGGCTGTCTACTGATTACTTTCCACGGACATTATGGCCGACCGTTTTGTCTCATTAACTGATTTGAATATTTCTTCCTTTATTGTTGCAAATCTTTTTAACAAAATCTGCAATCTTTAACACATGCGAGCGAAGTTTCCGTCTGCTAGACAATCATAGAATTAATCTGACTTCGTCCCGATCCACACAAAAAGCTATGTCATCTCAATGTCATTATGCATATGGTTTTGGACTTTTGGTAGTTGTTACGGTTTTGGTTTCTAGTACTGTAACAACTGACAACGTCCCTCTTGAGAATAATTAAGTGTCCGATCATGTCCGACCAAAACATGAGTTGGTCTGACACAATGTCAGACAAAGTTTTCAGAATTATATTGAACTCTGGCCACAACCTTTCTTAGGCCTCATTTACAGTAGCAATTTTTGCTGCGATTTTTGGTCTTCTGATGGATGTGAACGAGTGGATAAGTTACGAATGTTCGGATGAGGGTACATGTACTCCCAACATTGGTAACTCATATACTCGTTCACATGCATCAGAAGGAGAAAATAGCACTAGAAATCGGAGTAAACTGGCCCTTTTGGTATACTCCGATTTTTACCTGTAACCACTCAGGGCGCTTATATATAGTTCGTTTTCACGGATAAAAAAATAATGAAATGATCAGAAGTATCTTTTCTTTGCGCGAGTTTATCCAGACAGATCATCCACGACTATACTATAACTCGTTCTGTTTTCATATCATTTAGGTGGAAATTGAGAAAATCCGTGTGCAAGAACAAGAGAAACAGATCGCCATTTTGAAACGAGAGAACGAGGCCGTGAAGGAAAAACTGAAGAAAGCTGAAGAAATGTCTCAAACCTTGCAGAATTGTTTGAAAGAACTCACGGATGAAAAACATGAACTGCTTGACTCCATTGAGGAATTGAATGAAGAGAAAGCCGAGCTGGAAGAAGCCAGGTTAGCATTGTTCGTTTGTTTGTTCGTTTGTTTGTGTGTCTGTCTGTTCCTTTTAGTAGTGGTCGCGTGTTTGTGCGTCGATTGGGCTTTTCGAGCTTAGCACAGTTTGTATAGGCCCCCGATCAAAAACGACAAGCGACAATTCCTATTACAGACTAACTTTTTTATCTTGACAAAAAAAAGTATATTCCCGCGAAGAGCATACTAAAATGAGTAAAATTGCAAAGTTTGGTTACGAAATGTTGTAAAATGTGGAAAATATAGCCTTGCAAAGTTCGCAAATTTGTATACTTTTGTATTGCGTGCGGAAATTGCTACTACATTTCGGCCGAAAATGGTAGCAATTTCCGCACGCAAAAGTATACAAAATTTGCAAACTTTGCAAAGCTATATTTTCCGCATTTTACAACATTTCGCAACCAAACTTTGCAATTTTACTCATTTTAGTATGCTCTTTCTTATGGGGGGTGATTTGCATCTCTTTGCCTAGTTTTTAAAATTAGTCTACAATGGGAATTGTCTGTTGAAGTATCTGTTTGTATGTCGGTTTCTCTGTAAGGCAGGCAGGCAGTCACTGATATGTCGATTATTGACAGTTTATTGTGTCATTTAAGGTCGAAACTCGAAAAAGAACGTGGTGGAACAAGGCGGGAAAAATTTGTCGCGGATGAAGTGAGTGATATCCGAAATAAAGAACGAAAAGTTGGGGACAATTTGGAAGCGAATAAAGCAAAATTGGCTCAACTTGATTTGAAAGTTGTTGAAGTCTTGACGCTGATTGGTAACGAAGGGATTGGAAACAAGGAAATGAAAAGTGACCCGGATAAAGGTGTTGAGGATATAATTGGGTAAGTGTGGACATAATGTGATCTATAGAAACTGATGGGTATATGTGGGTTTCACTAGGAATATCGTGGTGCAGATAGTTTAGTTTATTGAGTTTCTCGCTCTTTGGTGAGCGGATTTCCCAACAGGCTATTGCCCAGTTGATAGGGCCAATTCTTAATAGATATTAAAAATTACATTGAAATATTATTAAAGGATATTTATTACCACGCCCAAACCATGCCCACGCCACGCCTCGGCCACGCCCACTTTGTCCGCAAAAAGTGAGACGTGGACCCCCCAAGCACATAGCCTTCGCTACGCCCCTGCCAGGGGATCCGATGTACCTACGATTTAACGTCCTTATCCGAGAAGACGCGAAACCTAAACATTTACCGATGTTAATGTAAAGGTAGCTCTTTCTTCTCAGTTAGTTTAAGACCTTGAGTAGAGATCCAACTAAGGATTGAACGTGGGTCTCTCAGCTTGAAAGGCAAGTGTTCAAGTGACCACGACACCACATGTGCTGGTATATAGTGCATAGTCTTTCGCCTCTGACCGAGGTCCAATAGGCAGTTGTCTCATTATTATCTCGCCTCTGCAGAGTGTTAGCAGAGTGCTTGCAGTTTGAGTCTACCAAACACCACCGGTTTTCTCCTGCATTGCAAAAAGACCCTGTGTAATTTGACTCAAGAATTTGAGTAAAATAATGCACCAACATGCAGTGACTCAAATTTATGACCGAATTTACTCAATCTTTGGAGTAAAGGTTCAGATTTGCTTGCTGAATGTTTTGAGTAAAGATTTGCTTTACTCAAAATTGAGTAAGTTTGCTCATAAATTTAGATAATGTTACTCGATAGTTTGAGAAATTGTGAATCCAATATTTCACTGACATTTTTTATTCAAAACGTTTTGCAGAGTGCAGTAACTCGTAACTCTAACTTTAGGTAATCAGTATTAGGTTTAGGAATAAACAACTTGTTATTAGAATTCCTGAGAGTATATTGACACCTTCTAGAGATCTTTAAATGGCATATGACTCGAAAATTGACGATGTTATTTTTTAGTCTAATTTGAAAGATCATTGAAAACTGTAACTTCTTTGACAGATTTTTGTTTTGTTGCTTCGTTTTGGAGATATTTCATTTTGTATGATATGCAAAGGACCAATTTTCTACGTCACGCATTCACTATCAAATAAATTCGCTCAAAATGAATGATGAGCACGAGATTTGTCCACAACAACACCCATGTAGGTTTTCTACTGATTGTGTTTAGTCGTATTAAAGATTACAACTTTTAGGGCAAAATCATCGGCATATGTGACGTAGGAAGTTGGTCCTTTGCATATCATACAAAATGTAATATCTTCACAACGAAGCAAGAAAACAAAAATCTATCAAAGAAGTTACTCTACAGTTTTCAATGATCTTTCAAATTAGACTAAAAAATAACACAATCAATATTCGAGTCATATGCCCAGCTGAGAATAGCAAGGATGTCTGGAGCTAGTGAGCAACCAATCTGATTGCACGAAAAGCACTATCCCGCCTCCCGAATATATGCTAACTAAGGTTAGTTTATTTCATGTTATAGTAATACTTGATTTGTTTCATTTCAGTTCTCTTTTATCGACTGTGGAAAACCTCAAAGTCACCGTGACCAGCTTCAAGACAGCGTACGAGAAAACGAAAGGCGACAGTTTGCGCACGAAGAACGAGCTTGAAGCACTAAACCTCAAGAAAACGGAATTAGAAAATCTAGTCGAGAAAATAACGAAACAGAATCAAGAAATGGTCGAGGCTGCTGAAGGGGACAAGAAATCGCAAAAGTCACATGAGCTTAAGATTGAACGACTTAAGACAGAAAATGCGAGGCTTGAAAGAGAACTGGGGGGAGTATGCGCGACGAAAACTGGGTACGAGAAATCTTTGGCGCAGTTGCGGCGGCGCGAGGAAGACTTGGGCCGACAGTTGAAGAATATTTCCAATAAACGAGACGATTTACAGAAAGCGTTCGATCTTCTGAAGAAAAAAAATACGGAATCATCTGCGTTACTTGCCGGTTCTACGAATGACGTCAAAGCGGTCCGAAGTGAAAACGAGAAGCTTACGGCGGAACTCGAGCAACTCCGAGAGGATCTCGAAGGAACGGTTGAGGACCGAGACGAGTTGCTAGAGTTACTAGATCGCATTGTATGCGAGAATGGTACGGGTGAAGAGAAGCTGGGTCTGGGACAGAAAGTCGAGCGAATTCGCGAGAGGAGTAAGTCCGACGAAGCTTTACCCACTGTGGGAATCAATGATTCCGGGAGGACTAAATTCGTAGGGGAAAAGCTCGTGGTGGCTAGCGAAATGAATATGGATTACGCCGCGGCTGGGGAAAATGAGTTGTTTGAGGAAAAGGGGAAAATTGAAAAGGATGGCAAAGGAATGGAAGCATTGCAAGAGGAAAATCAAAAATTGAAAGGGATGGTGGCAAAAATTTTGAGTGACCAAAAGAAAATGGAAGTTGTACTCAACTCGCTCTCTGAAGCTAACGCTGAAGTAAAACAAGGTTTGTAATCGATAAAATTGGTTAACTTTCTTTCATGAGAAATCATACTTAACTTTTGGCAACCGAAAATTTCTTGGTCTCTATTGTTTTTGAAGTTTCCGCATGTCTGGGACCATAAACTTTTGTTGCCCGTCACAGCGAAGTCAAGAAAATGTTTTGTGTTTGTTTTCTTGCATGCTTCTTGAGCAATACCCAATTTAAATTAAAATAAAATTAATTAACAGAATAAAATTAATCGGTCATTTAGTATTTTTGTTCGGCAAATAGAAAGGTTAAGATACCCCGGTTCCGACGAGTATCGCCATTTTGTTTACCAATTTTTGCTGTCATGTCAGCTTTTTCCTCCGTAATTTCTACCCATTTATTAACCATGATCTACACGTAGAAGACATACGGGTAGGAGTGTTTTCTGTTTACTATTTGTGGGCCGTTTAAATAGTAAACATTTTCAATATCTTACCCAAATAAATAATGCACATATGCTTGTCAAAGTTTTCAACAATCTATGGCGAACCTCAACAGAAAAAGTTACCATTCTCTGATAGGTTTTCTCACGCCGAAATATCTTGGATTTCTTATGTTAACAAGTCGTACCCCGATTTACGGGTACGCCGTACAGGTACGTGTATATCACCCGTACCCATAAACCGGAACCGGGGTATCTTAACCTCTCTAATGACCGATTGCCGCCCGTTATAAACCACAGTACTGGGCTAGTCTTGTGTAGTCGCAAATTATATTGCATTGATGGGGCTCTATTCTCCAATCTGTAACCCGGCATCAGGCGGCATGCAACTTGTGGCAAGGCTAATATTTCGGCAACAATGTTTCCTACTTTGCCCAGGGCTTAACCTTTTGAAATTTTATATCCGGCTTGAAACTATTCGTGAATTTAGATTACTTTTATTACTCTTTTGTTAACCATGTGGATTAACTGCTTAAAATTCTGAATTTATTTAACAGCAGTTAGCGAATTTTTCACGCTTCTTAAAATCATCCTGTGATTATTATATCAGTACTGTATAATTTTGGGTAATCCTGATATTTACCCATGTACCTTACAACAGCATCACCTTGCGGTTATAGAGCTCGACAACTGGACTCTGTAGCTCAGTTGGTTAGAACTACACACTATAAATTTCGAGGAGTTAATTGAATGAACTCCAAATGTGTTATTCTGTAAACGTTTTTGGTTTACAGAATAACACTTTTGGAGTTGATTTATCTCTTTAATATTTACAGGGTATAGTTTTAGATTGAGATGACTATTGACGGAATATTTATAAAAGGAACAGCTGCGAAAAATGCAACTTTAGGTCCCTGGCAGGAATTGAACCTGCGGCCCTGCGATTCCGATGCAGCGCTCTAACCAACTGAGCTACAGAGGCCAGTTGTCGAGCTCCAACCACAAGTTCATGTATATATACTAGGGTGCTGCCATGTATTTAACAGTTATTCTACGAACTCGAGTCGAATATGAGCTGATAGCCGATGCAGTGGCGTAACGGAAGAAGAGAGGCCCTTAGACATGTTTGGTGTGGGGGCCCCTGTTGACTGTCATTGTTTGACTGAGTCTGAGATCTTATATTTATATTGAATATTTATAGATGTTCTGAAAAATTATGTGTCTATATAACAATGACAATAGCAGTCTTCAATATAATAACAACTTTTAAGAAAACTTGTGTTCTATTTGAGATGGAATAAAAAAATCAGCTACCGTCGTCGACGGAGGCTTTATTATTTAGCATTATTAATTTTGTATTTTCCCATTGATTCTTAACCTGCATTTTTTACATTTTCTAATTTTCTGGGCGATAGGCCGTGGATGATGGGGCCATTAACTGTCGGGGGCCCTTAACTGTCGGGGGCCCTTAACTGTCGGGGGCCCTTAACTGTCGGGGGCCCTTAACTGTCGGGGACCCTTAACTGTCGGGGGCCCTTAACTGTCGGGGGCCCTTAACTGCCGGGGCCCTTAACTGTCGGGGGCCCTTAACTGTCGGGGGCCCTTAACTGTCGGGGGCCCCTAACTGTCGGGGGCCCTTAGTTTTTGAACTAACCCTACCTAATGAGCGTTACGCCACTGAGCCGATGAGGCGCGTAGCGCTCTATCGCTCTTATTCGACGGCTATCGCTCTTATTCGACGAGAGTGAGTGGAATAACTGTTTTATTATATACACAAGGTCTGAATTCACAGACTTTGCTTTTCGGATATTTTCAATATTTTTCTATTTTGTTTATGTTTTTATCTTCGCTCTTTCGGCCGATTATTTTTTCAATAATATATATTTTTAACCATTTTAAATTTTAAAAATTTATTTGCTAACCTAAAAACAATTTGTGGGAGTTTTTTCATTGTGTTTTTAATCCTGTAAAGGCTATAAAAAGCGACAACTTGCCGTTTTCTCGTTTGCAAAACATCGTAAATTCAGTTTGGCCGCCATTTTGTTTTTCTCTACTAGCAGGATATGAGCTAATATCCTGCTAGTAGAGAACCAATCAGATTGCAGAATACCTCATATCCAGACCTTGTGTATATAATAAAGGTTATTAGACCTAACCAGGACCAGAAGCGAAAAATACAACTTGAGGTCCCTGGTTAGGTGTATTAAATGTATATAAATTTCCACTCGACAATTTTCATCCACAATACCCATCAAATATCTCTAAAAGGGTATTGGTTTCACAGGTGCCAATTTATGGAAGAATTTACCAGTTCAAATTAGAAACACTGAGAGCTTAGCAAGTCTCGACTCGCTTCTACGTGCAGCTAACCTGATATAATTTCATTTGTAATACCCTTAATTATGTAGTTGTGAATTTATATCCTTAGGCTTACTTTGTAATTTTAAATTTTACCTGTTCCCCTTTCGAAATTAATTTACATTGAAGGGGTTAGCGTGTTTAAATAAGTTTACCTTACGTTTAGCTTTGCAGGAAGTAGGATTAAAACGCCTAGTGACGTCTAAACAATTATTCTCTTCAGGCTTGGAGGAATCATTGGAGCATACCGAACAGATACGACTACAGGGATCGGAAAACGGTCGTGGTCAAGGCGCGGTGGACTTCGCTCCCGATTTCTCTACGACGTCCGACGAAAACGCCGAACTTCGCCGTCTTCACGAAGCGATGGTGGGCACGAATGAAGCCCTGAGCGCGAACCTACGCCGACTGCACGACGAGAAAACCCGAAGCGAGCAATTGAAAGCCTCGTTTCAGGACGTCACCAGAAAGAACGTCGCTTTGGAGAAAAATATCGAAAGTTTGACAAAAGACAAGGAAAGGACAGGAAAGGACATTTTAGACTTGGAAAAGAAACTGAGAGATTCGGGAAAGGAAACAAAGAAAGCGAAAAACGAAAAACTCGATTTGGAAAGTATGTTGGACGAAAATAACGGCCGAGTCAAAGACTTGAAATTTCAAATTGATTCGCTGACCGAAATTAATCAAGACTTACGCGAAACAAACGAAAAATTAAGCGGTTCCTCCAAGGAATACGAGAAAAAATGGTCACAATTAAGCAATAGGTTTGACGAACTTGAGTCCCAAAACGAAGACCTCAAAAAAGCGAAAAAGCGGCTGGAGGGGGAATTGGCCGAGCAAGGTAAACAAAAGACTGGGCTCGAGAAAGAATTCGCTGAGCAAGATAAACAAAAGACTGGGCTCGAGGAAGAATTGGCCGAGCAAGGCAAACGAAAAACTGAGCTCGAGTCAGATCTTGAAAAGTCGAAAGACACCATTGTCTCGCTTCAAGCCGAAATCTCAAGTTACACTAGAAAAGATTGCGAAGTGAAAAAGAGCCTGGAAACGAGTGAACGCGAATTAAAATCACTTCGGGAAACAGCAGGCAAGGTTACTAAGCTAGAACAGGACGCCCAAGCCGCAGACGCGTTGAGAACTGATATGGAAGACATTAAGAAAACGCTATCGGAGCGAGAGCAGAGGGTCGCCGAACTTGAAAACGACGTTACTCGGTTGAAGAAAGATATTCAAAACTCGCAACGGTTTGTGAAAGCTGTGAGTCAGGAGAATGATACGCTACGAGATTCGTTATCGGAATGGGAGCGAGAAGCGAGCAAGTTACGTAGACATGTTCTTCAACTTTCACAGGACGCCGAGAATCATAACCACAGCGGGGAAGGCAAGAAGGCCTCGAAATCACAAGAGATCGATAAGGTAGGTCACTCTTGTTTACACCCGCTTGGGAATTTTGCTAGAAAGGGATTATTCAATTAAGGTTTTAGAGGCTTAGATATAAATCGTATAACTTCCTGTGTTTTAAAAGTTGTAGCGTGTTGGTATGTGTACATGCAGTATACATATACCAAGTCCATCAATGACAGTTTGATTTAAGTATACGTACTTTTCAGATTTTATGGTATATTCTCGCCAGGCTAGACTTCAAACGGTTGGTTCTCAGCGTAGGGCCTTAAGATGCGCGTCCTTTGTGGCAGAATTTCGCTCGCGTAGGAGGTTATTTTGAAACACACGTCCTGTGTGGCACACTCATAAAAGTTTAAACTTGAAGTGGTCGTTCTCAGCGTAAAGAGTGTAGTCTTGAAATACATCTCCTTTCTAACAGATTTTCGCTCGTCTGAATGCCAAACAGTTACTATACTGATTTCTCAGCGTAGGTAGTGGTTTTTGAATGCACCTCTTTGTGGTAGATTTTAAACGTCTTACGCTCATTTAAACATCAAAAAATTTGTTCTCAGAATAGGTAACACTCACTCGTTCTTTGTGTTACATTCCCGCTAGCCTATTTCGAATCTATATCAAATATGGGGTTTTGTCTGTAATTATTCCTTGTTATACGATGCTATTCTCGTGTATTCGGTATTATAACAAAAGCGTTGTTGTCAAAAAGGGGATTAGTCAACAAACAGTTCTGGATTTGAGAGCCGGTTAATTATGTTCTTGTGTTAAAATAATAAAAATATATAGTATAAAATGTACTTGAAACTAAGTGCATATATATTGGCCCGCTTACAGTATTTATACAGTATATTAGCCGCTATGTTTTGTTTCATAATCATTGTAACGGCCTGTTAACAAAATGACATTGCAAAATTTGCTATTTCTAAAGGAATATTTACATAAGCAATATCTATTGCGAATTTACTCATGAAAGTATACTTGTTTTGACTCGAGTACTTTCGTGAGTTCTCCACTCAATCCCCGCCAGCCGAAGTCACAGAAAATCCTCAATATCTTGCGTTTAAACTGGCATTTTATATTAGCAAATCCAGATATTTCTATACCGCCAAAATCGTGGGCAACTGTTCACATTGTATTATTGATCGATCCCAAAACACGCAAATAGACGTCTTCGAAGGTATTTTACAACTCATTAAAAGCAATTTTAACTTAATTTGGTTATAAAGTGTTCACACAAAGCCAAAGGCATGATCGGTATTTCTTAACCTTTGTGTTCCACCAACGTCATACTGAGTTAGCTCTGATACACTAACTATTTGCATAAATCTTTGGCAGCAACCATTCCAGCCACAGTGCGTGGTAACAGTGCTTGTGTCTTTCATCTTTGACTTTGTGACTAGTGCTCGGGATGTCGAATATGCAAGCTAAACTTGAGCAGAGTGTTTCCAGTTTGACTTCATCAAACACCGCATCATCACGTTTTTTCCTTCTGTACTAACTGGGTCATGGATATGGCATGATCCTCGTATTAACCGATAGAGTTATCCTTTATCTTTTGCTCTCTTATATCGCCTTTCCGTTCTTTGTTTCAAAATCCCCCTCTCCAAGGAAACAACGGACTTTGAGATCACAGACAAAAGTCTTTTATATTTCGTCCAAAAAATAATCAAACATTGTGATAGTCGGGAAACGTCTACGTTTTTTTCCTTCAACAATCAGAAGATTGTACAAAATCATTTGACAAAGTCATTTACAAAATCATTTTACAAAATAATTTGACTCGATCGCTTCTTACTAGAAATTGCTTTACGTACTTTTAGACAAAAGCCTTGCGAGAATTTACCATATCCACTACAGTATCGAGTCATTCTTCTAAACAATTGTTTAATTATCGGCCAATGCAAATAGCAGGCAAATCTCGTATAGGAACGTACTCAACCAGAACGAATTTTGTGTGGGAAACTATATGCAGCCGTGATATATATCTGAACTACCTGGAAAGATTTAAATGATTGGTGAAACCTTTCACTCGATAGTCTTTTTATTTTTTTTTTCATGTAGTGTACAAACCACGGCAGCTTATTGTAGAATACTACCTACACTAGACCATCACGTTTGAGATTTCTTTTCCAGGCACAGCCCACGAAAGCTTATTGTAGAATACTACCTACGCTGGACCACCACGTTTGAGATATCTTTTCGAGGCAGTTCAGACAAAATCCATAACAGCTTATGTAGAATACTACCTACACTGGACCATCATGTTTGTGTATCTTTTTCAGCAAGTTCAGACAAAAACCACGACAGCTTATTGTAAAGTACTACCCACACTGGATCACAACGTTTGAGATAACTTTTTCAGGTAGTTCAGACACAAACCACGACAGCTTATTGTAAAGTACTACCCACACTGGACCACCACGTTTGAGATAGCTTTTACAGGTAGTTCAGACACAAACCATGGTAGTTTGTTGTAGCATACTACCTACACTGGATCACCACGTTTGAGATAACTTTTTCAGGTAGTTCAGACACAAACCATGGTAGCTTATTATGGAATACTACCTACACTAGACCACCACGTTTGAGATATCTTTTTCAGGTAGTTCAGACACAAATCACGACAGCTTATTGTAGAATACTACCTACACTGGACCACCACGTTTGATATATCCTTTCAGGTAGTTCAAACACAAACCATGGTAGCTTATTGTGGAATACTATGGAACAGCACATTTTATATTTCATCAGAGAATTATACAAGACAAACTCGGCCGGGTACGTTAGGGGCTCATTCAAAAACAAGTTTCTAATGTAATCCCTCTTTTAATTCGTCTAGGTGAGGTCGGTGAAGGCGTTTGAGGCGATGCAAGTCGAAATGGACGCCATTAACAAGCATTTGAAATCTCTGACCACCGAAAACCAAGAGCTTTCCACGAAACTGGATGCCCTTACCAAAGAAAACACAGCAGCAAGGGACAGAAACATTGAACTGTTGACTCGTTATGACATGTTAGGCAAAGAACTGGAAAAGAAAACAGCTGAAATGAATAAACTGAGCAAGGACGGGAAAGATTCGCGCTCGAAGAAAAACAACGAAAAACATGAAAAAGAAAAGAACTCGCTTCAAACGAAAATTGATAAGCTGGAACTAGAAAACAAGCTGCTGAAAAACAGTTTGGCAAATACTTTAGACGAACAGAAACGGCTTGCAGAGAGTTTAAAGAATTTAGTTGATGGCAAGAAAGTCCAAAGGAAAAATAGCGGAAAGTCGAGAAAAGATATTGTTAGCGAAGAGTATGAAATACGTACGGAGATTTCCGGACTCACTACGACAAAGCCCGATCTGATCCGAGATTCCACCGAGGTGAAGGACGAGTACATGATCGTGGAACAGCGGAAATACAGAAGCGAGTTATCCACGGTTGAAAACAGTGGGACCGAGGCGGACATTAAGGACTTGGTTGCCGATTTATTAAAAGGACAAATGAACCTGAAAGGTTATTGTCATGAAATTTCGAAGGTTGTTAAAGATAAGACGTCACACAACTCAAAGGACGAAGTCGATGGTAAAGGTATAAACGAAGCGAAAGTTAGTTTGGACACAACAAAAGCCGAGTTGGAGAAGACAGCTGAACTCAAGAAAGACTTGGAGTCTAGTTTACAGAAGAAGGAAGAAGAATTGAGCAAAAGCGGCGAGGAGAACGCAAAACTCGAAAGCGAGCTCGCAAACATTAAAGAAAAATGCGAAAAACTACAAACTGTATTTCGTAAACTGATCCTTGTGATGAATGACAAAAAAGCCGGGGAGAAAAAGAGCGGCGAAGAAGGGGAAGGGCCGACGAGTATAATCGACCAGATTAAAGGTATTAAGAAGAAATACACGACATTGATAACTGAAAAAGAGAACTTGGAATCGAAAGTTTCCGAATTACAAAAAGAAATCGACGAGTACAAAGCCAGGGCGAAGCAGGTGGAAGAGCGGACCAAGGATAGCAAGAAAAAACAAGAAAAGTCTGAGAATAAAAGCTCTTCGGAAGACAAGGAAAAAATCTTAAATGAACTGTTGTTATCCACGGCTCGGAACAAAACACGGTTGCTTGAAAAGCTACAAGAAATATTCGACGAGTTCTCAAAAGTGAAGTCAAAACTCGATAAAGAATTGGATAGCCAAGAGAAAGAATCAAACCTGGAGAAAATAAACCAAGAGTTTTCAGAGTCTATTATGCATACCGAGAGATTTATACAGTCAGTCGCTCATGACCGGCCGGTTACGGTCGTCGCCGATTCGGCTGACGAGAAGGACCCGAACTTGGAACTAGCAAAAGAGAACGAAGAGCTGATTGGACGAATCAGTGCCGTTCAATCGTCACGACGGCGGGAATCGAAGAACTATAAAGATGAGTTGACGAAAATTGAAAAGAATAAAGTGGAAGCTGTGAAAGCTGAAGAAACGAAGTGGAAGGATGAAATGGAGAAGATGAAAGCAGAATTTGAGAAGAAAATAAAAGAAAAGGAACAAGCTGCAACTGAAGTGAAAAATTCGTTAAAACAAGAAATAAGTCAACTGAAGCTTGACATACGAAGAATATCTGACGAGCACGAAGTCGCACAAAGGACTGCTCGCAACGAAGCTCGTTTGGCCGCTGAAAAGTTGGAAGAAAAGATTAAACTCCTGAAAGCAGAGATGGACAGGAAGCTGTTGGAGAAGGATTCAAAAATAGTTGAAGTTAAACGCAAAGCCGACTCTGGCGTGAAGGAAAACGCGCAAATGGCGGAAAGAGAAATTTCACAAGTGCGCGCAAATTGGGCTGACGCTGAACGGAAACTGCGCGTCGCGTCCGAACAGAAAACTGACGCGGTTAGAGAATTGGAACGAGTCAAACAAGATCGAAGCGAGGAAGGAGGCAGATCTGCGCGTGATCTTCAGAAACTTAAGGTGGCACTGGAGAATGTTCAGAAACAGGCAACCGAGAGAGAAGATGGGTTTAAGAAGGAAAGGGATAGATTGCAGAGGACTATAGCAAACCTTGAAGGACAAGTTAGGAATGCTGAGATGACTGGGTTAGAACGCACTCAAACTAAGATCAGCGAGCTCCAACGCTCTCTCGACGAGTTATCCAAACAAAAACAACAAGTTGAAATGGCAAGGCGAAACTCCGAACAAAATCTGGTTGCAGAAAACGAGAGGCTGAGATTTGAAACGTCGAGATTGCAACGCGAACTTTGGGAACTTAACCAGCAACGTAGGACCAATGGGGGTAATGATATACAAAGACGTCCTGATTCCAACATATCCTCCGGAGAACGTGTGAAGGTGATGGGCACGGTGAGACAAGCCCCGATAGAGAAACCCCGCATGGTAACCCCTGTAGAAAGTGCCCCAGGACCTTTCCCCGGTGGTCCAGGTCTTTACCCCAGTGACCCACAACGCAGAACTGTAAAGGTCCGGGAAGGTCAGGCAACAAGTGTACATGTGACTCGCGTCCAGGACCAACGAGTACGGCGGAGTAGCGATCAACGTGACCCGATATCTGACGAGCTCAATGATTCCCCAAATGCGGTGATCCTGGCACGACCCATGCAAGCCCGCACGCAAGCACACCCACCGCCTCAAAAACAGGCAGCTCCGCCGCCTCAAAAACCCCAACCCGAGTGGGAAGCACGGCAAGACAATACATGGCCTATGAGGAAAGATCCCTCTAAGTACCCATCTAACAACACACGTTACAAAGATCCACCCGCTCGCGCGCAACCTTCATCGCCAAGGACTGGGTACTACAAAGAAGATTCCCGCCAAAGGCCTGGTTACCCAAGTTCTAAACCAATCACGAGACAGACTCAAGGCAGCCTAGAAGCGGAAGTGACGTTATCTGACAACCGTCGTGCGGTAGAGATAAAGAAACTTCCGGTTAAAGAGAAACCGCGTTCCACAAAGTTTCGCCATGAGCGTCGGCCGTCAGTCGGTTCGGATGACGTATTTGTTCCGAACAGTTCCGTTGCCAATCCGAGTCTGACGTCACATGGAAGCAAAACTGGCGACTTCTGGCGCTCTCGGTCACTCGAGGATTTACTGATTTCCGACGATAGACCGATGAAACAGTCGGAGCACGTCGTCCGAGCACATAATCAGAAATTACCGAAAAGCTTTTCGGGCCCCAGGAGAGGCGATCCAAGGTTGGCCGCTGCTAAAGCTGCGCAGCAAGGAAGGGGGCCTGGGAATCAAGCTGGTGGTAAAAAAGTGGCGCCTCTAAAAGGAATGGAATATGTTTTGTTTCAATCCCAAATGTAAGCCCAGCTGAGAGGTGTAACAGGTACAAATTGAATTTTGTTAAATCGAACGAAACTACTGGGTGTATAAAAAAACGAGACCTTTAGAAATCAAGTTATTGTTGGAATTTGAATGCATAGCACTGGGTGGTGCGTAAACCAGAATAGAAGTGAGTAGGAAAGTTTCCAACATACGAATTATGTGCTGATTAATTTAACGCAGCGCGTAAAATCTCGTTGCTCTGTGGTCAGTTTTGTTCGAATTGGTGACATGCATTATATTTAATAGGAGCTATTTTAAATTCCCAGGAGCATAAAATCTTGTGCTTAACAACAATAGCTTGATTTCTAAAGCTCTCGTTTTTTTATACACCCTGTGGATATTGCACTAACAATATCGAACACTTACCTTTCTGGGGGAATAAAGGGCCAATACTTCTCTCGTAATTATGTTTCCTTGGATATAGACTCTCGCTTTCATGACTGAGACTTGACTTTACAGATTTTAATTTTGTTACTGGTGACGTAATTGTGACCCAAGATTTCGCCACAAAATGAGAATTTTATCACCAGCGATAAGTTAAAATGCTGTAAAACAAGATTTCAGTTACGAAAATGAGGCTCTCTAAGCCAAGCAAAGTAGAATAAAGGGAAATAATTTTTTTCAAACTAACCAACTTCAAACTCAGTGGCGAAGCTAGCCAACAGGTGATGCTATGTAGATTTCTAATCAATTTGCCTGATGATTCAAACCTTTAGAAGTGTATTGTCTTTAACCTATTTAGATGCTGGCTGACCAGTTGCCATGACAAGCTTCGCCACTGCTTAAAGCCGTTCAGTTATGCGCTCTTACAAAAATCGTAATCTATTAATGAATAATGACCGTAGTGGACCATTTGGACTGAAATAGACAATATCGAAATGGACCAATTGTCATTTATAGTTAAATAAGTGGGTGTCCTGATGTAAAATTCGTGAAAAATTAACGCAGTAGAATATTTAGTAATTATAAAATAGCATGCAATTGCATGATTGTAGCGCACGATATTCAAATCATTCAAATAGATGTAAATCTTGCTTTTCACTTATAATACATAATAATCTGCAAGATAATATTTAAAAGAATATATATAGCATTAACATTGTATTTTTGGAATTACGTATAACATTTACATTATAAGAATATTTTTGATTTTGTGTGTGAATGTGATCTATTTCCCTGGAATCATAAAACTGGAATGAAGATCTCTTATGTCTACTGTTATAAAATCAAACCAGGCTAAGAGTATTACCAGGATGACTCTGACAAAATACCCCGTAGATTTCTCCATATTTTCTTGTCCTCCTGTAAGGGGTACCATACACATGAACGAGTCGGCTAATTGTTGCATTCATTCAGCAAACATTGGGAATATGGAACGAATTATCTGATTTAAAACGTGAATTTAAATATAAATCTTGATACTTCAAAAAGTCAAGTGAATAGATATCTTGTGCTCTATCGGTCGTGGCGGGTAACTTAAAAATTCAAAACAGCTTAAATAAATGCAGACGACTTGGTTTTTGATATCAGACAGCAGTCATAGTTTGTTTTCTTTCTATGAGTTTGTTTTCTTTCTCTATGAGTTTGTTTTCTTTCTATAATACTTGCCGGCAGTAGCGGGATAGGTAGAAAAGTGGGCGCGCGGGGTTAAAAGGTGGCATCGTGGACTTTTGGAGACGGACCGTACGCAGGATTTTTTCACTTGGGGAGGAGCAGTAAGGCCTATATGCCGGAAAAAGTCCTAAATATCAAAGAATAATTAATAATGACATTCAAAAATCGGGGGGGGGGGGGGGGGGTAGTTGCCCCTCTTGACACCAAACCCCCCACCCCGCTGTGCACTGCACGGCCCTGTTTGGAGATAATAGGGAATCACACGCTACCCGCAAGTCAACTAGAAAAGAAAACAAACTACAAAGCCTCTGCTGAGGGAGAGTGATCATAGCTGAAAACAGTTGTTGTGGGTGGTCAGAATTAGTTTCAAAATTTTCCCGGGGGAATTAACCAACATGCCCCGGACTCCCTAGAGCTCTGTTGCAGTTTCATTGAACCTCCTCTCGCGAGAACTCACGAAGTGTCAAAGGTCGAAATTATCCAATAGGAATCAAGCAATTTAAAGGCGCAGAAAACAAAATGGCCGGGCGTTCCATGTGTGAACTGAGTTTCTACTTTCGTTGATTCGCGTTAAATTTGCGATAATAACAGCTCAAAACTAAACTCAGAAAATCTTTAGTCTGTTAACAAAGTTCGCAAGCATCCAGATTTCAAGTTTACGTCAATTTTGATGAGGAAATACAGACATCATATTTTGAGTTTGTAATTGTAAGTACAATCTGTTTATATATCATGTTATATACATATATGGTATATCCAGAATCGGTCATATTATTGGGCTATTTATGTAGTATTTGTATTGCCTTTAATCCGTTAACACAGAGTCCAAGATCTATAGAAAATGGCTTCGAAGAAGATGACTGAGCGACTCAGTCTAACTGGTAGTTGTACGGTTGCCATATAATTTGATCTGGATTTAATTGTATTGTTAAAATAAGGTTTTAACTTAAGGGCAGTCTTTAGCTCTTTGCCTTTTTCCATGCCTTGGCCCATACATGAGCCTGGCCGTGACAACAACAATGGATGACAAAAGTAATTGCCGGGCATAAATAAAGCACTCGGAAATCGCCAGGGGTGTTATAGCGTCTTTAATTTTCATCTTGCTTGTACGAAATTTTCCATGAACTCATTTCAAAATAAATACGAGAAATTCTCTCAATATTGGGGGAAATATACTATATAATTGTCAAAAATATAAAAGTTATAATAAATTATAATACATTACGAAATTTTTTTTGTTACCCCCCACCCCCCCAATCTTGGAAAGTTTGCACGGAAAATTTTTTTGACAAGTCGGGCACAATGGGAAAAATTCAAGCAAATTTCTTTCCACCCCCCTAATTTTTTCGTTCCCATACACCTATGGGGGGAGGGCGGTCACCTTGACTATGCCAGTGATACCAAACAAAGAAGGGATGGATGAAAGGCATAAAGATGCACACAATCAATAGCTTGCTTCAGGTTTCCATTCACACACTTTTTTAGTAGTATGGGTTTTTGCATACATTTCCACAAAATTTATGTTCAGGTCTCTCTCCTCCGCAGAGGCTTACATGAAGTTTCTTGTGAGGAAAAGTGAGCGTGCAAGGAGTGATGGGTCCATCACACCGTGCGCGCTCACTATTTTTTCAGGAAACTTCATGTAAGTTATTTTTTGTAAATACTTACGGAGGCTCTGCGGAGGAGAGAGTGTTGAGGTCACTTTTCAAATTGCGATTCCTAAGTTTGTACTGGAAATATTAATTACATTTCTACATATTTGATTTCTACATATTTGATTTCTACATATTTGAAATATTGAGTGTTGCAAGTTGCTTACTAAAGCACAGGCTGCCCAATCTATCACGTCTGTTGATGTATGTACTGTATTACTCAATGAAGACTTTTATTATTATTATATTATTATTCAGGGTGAATGATCAGGAGTTTCAGGTTTTTAATGGCAAAACTATTCTGAAAACATTCTTAAATTAGTCAAATAACTACACTTTAATAATAAAATTAAAGTTGACGTGATAATATAATACCTTTGCATTCTTTGAGGTCATTTAGAGCGGTTTATACAACCTTTTCTGTGGCCTATATGTTGTGTGTTGCTCGTCATTATATATAGATATATATAGAAGGTAAAGGCTCATCACTAGCAGCCCCACTGCATCGCCTTCAAAGTCAAATATCTTTGCTCAAACTTGTCGTGCGGGAAAAAATCGATCAGATCTTTTAGCAAAGGTTTGTCTTTCTAACGAATATGGTTTCGGAGAGCCTGACTTGCGAGGTTGATTTGATCATAGCAAATTTAGCAACGAACTGAGCCAAAATCTCTCTCAGTACTTCGCTACTCTAGTTCAGTACTTCCGGCACGCAAAGGGAAGCCTCACATATCTTCACATTGTCCATGAGAAACGTCACACATAGTTATCGATATTTTGTTCTTATAGTACACATAATTAAGTTAATTTTTTACAGTCAGCTATTGGCAATGCTTCCGCGTGGGATATGTCATCTTCTGTTGACATGTTTATTAATATATAAGGACTTAAAAATTTCCAACGTTTCTCAAAACAACTTTTTTTGCATGAAATATTGACAATTTTAGCCGCGTGTTTTTTCTTGAAATTTGAGTGTTTTCAAAGCAAGGAAGGCGTAATAATATAATAATAATAATAACATTTAATATCCATCTTTGGTTAAAAAAGTACAATGGATTTACAAGAAGTGCTAAGGTTAAAATTGATAAGAAGAAATTTTACTATTATTTACATCAATGTTGCTAAAAATGTTTATACTAGTTATATATTCTATAAAATTAATTTAAGACTGTTTTAAAAGGGATATAGCTCTAGGTATAAAGGATTGCCGGTGTCTTTTAGTATACGATACAACATATGGTAGATTATTTGTTGTTCTTAGATCGTGTTCATGGGTAAAAGGTTGGGGGATAAGTTTATTACATGGGTTGGTCGGATCACTTAGAATTCTTTGGTATTCCTTAACAGTTAGGTGTGCCCTTCTTTGTTCTAGCGTTTCAAAGTTGCACCGAGATGTGCCAATGATTTTGATGCATCTGTTTTGAATGCTCTCTATTTCATCAATGAGATATTGTGGTAAACCACCCCATATCGGAGCTGCATATTCTAAAACAGGTCTAATCTTGGATTCATAACATGTAATACCGACCTCAGGAGGAAGATTCGCCCTACGGCATTCTCTCAGACTAAACATTCGTTTATTTGCTTTCCTTACAATGTTCTTGACATGACAGTTCCATTTCAAATTGTTTTGATGCCAGACACCCAACAGTTTATGAGAATTTACTCTTTCCACTACCTCGTTT